TCTGCTCCAGGCCTTCCTTCCGTGCTCCTGGCGGACGGAGCGCCGCGCGGACCGCTCTGCAGCGCGGCGCCGCCCACGTGGACCGTGCCGCGCCCGCTGCGGAACCTTCCGTGGCAGGTGGCGGCCTTGGAGGAACAGCGGAAGCAGGCTGCAAACGATCCCCGTGGGCCGCTGGCATGTGATGTTCCGCAACTGATGTGCCCCACACGGCCATGAGTGAGGAAAGTCTTTCATACTTCCAAGAGTGTTGGTAGTTGTGTTGCTGTATCCCGAATCAGCAGCTGGAAATAGGAGGATTGAGAATGATTGAGATACCTTCACTTCAAACATGTGCATGTTTCTAAACCCTTGACGCTTTACATCTGCAGATCATCAATGGTTTGAACCCCTTGGCTGCGCAGACTCCCATGCAGAACGCGTCGGAGCTGCGGATGGTGCAGCGCAGTCACCAAGCATGGTGAGAGGCCACAGATGGAGGCTGCTCAGAAGGGCCAAGCAAGGTCAGGCGTATGATCCTGGATGGCTGAGCAGGTGATTTGTGTTTGTAGCCGTTGTAGCGTCTATTCTTCTGGCACATGTGAATATTATAAACTATAAATTCTTCTATCAGAATTTCCGAGAACTCTGCTATGATGGTAAAAAGATATGGCCCACCTCTTCCAAAGACCGTCCGGTGTCTCAGCAGGGAAGTGACCCTTCTCGGCAACATGGTGGTTTGGATTTCTTCTGGCCATCCATCCTATGATCCCTTGACTCGGAGTCAATGACTATATTGGGTCTGTCCTACTACCTGCTAACAGTCAGTGAACAGTTACGACAGGCCTTTAGGAACCATCATCATCCACTGTTCCTGGTAGTAGGCTAGACCCAAACATACCCAAACTATATACTATAGCCTTCAAGCAACAAAGAATTGTAGATAAGGCAGAAAAGAATTGTAGATAACTACTCAATAGCCGTCTTTGTTATTTTGGTGGTATTATGTTGGGTTAAGTTATACTTGGTTATATTGAGTTCGCAGTTTAGCAGTTTTGTAATTTAGCAGTTTAGCAGTTTAGTATCATAAGTATTCGGTGGCCACCCGGATACTAGTTATATTTAGTTGTGGTGGACCTGGTCAGCTCAGTCAGCTCCAAGTTCTTGTACAGTCAACGCCGCCAACGTTTTCACCGCTTAAACATACCAGCTGGAGAGAGCTCGTGTGCGTCTGTGGGTCTGTGGCAGGAAGGGCCACATCGAAGTTAAGGACCAGCCACACCTCACTTACCATAGAAGTAGGATGTTCAGTCATCAAGATGTGCAGCACATGGCCACCAATAATCTACAGTAGTATCTACAGTCTATACAGCCATTAGCTCAAATCATATGGGGCTTAGTGGAGCACAGCAAGCACAGCGAGCACAGCAAGCACGGCTGGCTTCAGAAGGGCAAGTGTTTCCCTAAGTCTGCCTCGTGTTTGGGGTAAGTTACCCCCGTGTGCGTGGCACCGTGCATGGCGCGCGGAAGTGGCGAGCGCTTCTGCTTAGTCTTCTCAACCGAGGCCTCTTCGGGAGAGAGACGGACCGTGGGCCCCGTGGGGTTTCCGGATGTCCGGCCAAGAGTTTTCCCGGAGGGGCTGGGGAGTTGAGCAGCAACAGAGTGCGGCCAAGAAGGGCGTTTTCGGCTTCGAGGCCGAAGGATGAAAAAGCTGACCTCCTTGGGCAGGCATTGGTGCGATTTTGGGGGCTTGGAACTCGTCATGTGCCCGTTGAAGGAATCAGAGGAGTGGCCGCTGTGATTAGACCAAACATGTTGAATCCTTTTGATAATCGCAACAGTGGCGTAGACATTGGCTTCCACCCATGCGACCTGAAAAAACAATCTACCAGATCGGTCTATGGCATTCGGCCTATGGGCTGCCACCTGAGTCTGTTTGTAAAGAACTCGGCACCAGCGCGAGTGGCGCACTGAAGCTCAAGTGGCTGAGGCTCGTTGATTGTGGTGCAGGCGGGCTGGAACTGTTGTCTTGAGATGCTTAGAGTTATGGTAAACCACGGGTTGTGATTGTGATAATGCTTCTTTCAGTCAATGATGTTGATATTCCAGTAGCCAGTATATGATTGTTCCACGTAGGCATGGAGTTGTTTGGGATCCAGGCATATCAGCAGATCGCTGCTTCCTTCTACACCTAGCCAAGCGCGGGCGCGCTTGAATCAACGCGCCCACGGATCGCTTTTTCCATGCGCCCCTTCGGTCGAACCGTGCTCCGGGGGGGGAGACCTGGTGTTGGGAGCCCTTGGGAGGCGTGACGGGCCGTGGGCGCTGGGGCCCAGGTGGATGCGGAATTGTCACACACCCCGTTTGGGACGAGATGCGTTCAATGTGTTTCGTGGCGGAGACGGAGACCTCCACCTGGCGAGTGTCTCCTTTCAGAGTTCGAAAGACCAATTCACTCCCACACCGCGCCGGCAGTGCCGGTGGCAATAGGACCATGAGGGTGGTTTTCACTGCGACTGTGCACACGACACCGCTGGTTCTTCACACTTCGATGTCACCAACACGTCACGTCGCTTCGATTCCGCGCCATATGGGACCGTCGGGTGTGGCCGTCGCGGGTGGTCGCCGGAGGCGCCGGCACCACAACGGCGGTGCCCCTTGAGATGATGGGAGGCACGCACCGTCGATGGTGATCCATGGTGATCCTCAACTACTCAAACGATGGTTCCAGAGACAGTTTGTTGCGCAGTCATTTGGCGTGATTGTTTCTTTGTACACTGTGCTTGTTGAAGGAGAATATTTCAATTATGTTTGCTAAGACTTCGACCCCTTCTCCAGAGATGTACTTATCTGGGAAGTAATTTGGATTTGACTTTCCTGGGTTGGTGTTTCCCCCTGAAAGGAATTTCGGACCAGCTCTGAGGGCAGGGTGCTTTTGAGCCACTGCTTCTGCTGTTGCTTTTAGCCCGGAAGCCGAGATGGCAAGAGTCGCGACTCTGAAGTCAACTCGGAGGATCCATCACTGCAACTCCGAGGATCCATGTCTTGCCTCACAGACATGCTCTTTGCAGAACGTCGTCACGGAATTGGATGGTGTGAAACATGCTATAATAATATCTAGAATTATTTGAGATCAAGAAACGGCTTGGCCTTTCTACGGCGTGCTGTGATACACGGTGCCATGGAAGTGAATTTGTCAGAGTTCAACCTTAGCAGCTTCAACTTTAGCAGCTGGATGGCAGAGTGGCAGACCACGGAAGTGAGTTTGTCAGAGTTCAACTTTGACAGCTGGATAGCGGAGTGGCAGACCATTCTTGGTCTTGTTTTCATTCTGGGATGGCCTTGCCTCTTTTGCGTAGTCTTTGTCATTGCAAGTGTTCCTGCGCAGTGGGTGGGGGAATGCTCCAAGGGCCGCGCGTACGATCGTGACAAGGACCTGGATCGGTTGGGCAAAGACAAGGCCTTGCGGCACCTGTGCATGTATTCCGGCTTGTACCTTTTGATCTATGGCACGCTAAAGCATTCACCTGGCTTGGCCGTGTTGGTGGCAGCTCTCCATACCCTGATCACAGCATCTTTGCAGCTTTGTTGGTTGGCCGGCACCGCCAATGAGAACAATTCCAAAGCTAGCAATGAACGCGAGAAGGGGGAAGAGATCAAATTAGCCCCCCTGACACACGGCGATGACCAGACGGATCAGGCCACAGCCAATGAGAACAAACACCAAGCTAGCAATCAGGACCAGAAAGAGGAGGCTTTGGTGCCAGAGTCTGTCTACTCGAACTTTGAAGGGCGTCCCATTCTTGAATGCGCCTCAGTCTTCGCGATTCAGATTATGCTCTATGGGATGGTGCTCAGTGAGGTGTTTTTCCAAAACCCGATCTTCGAAGAGATTGAAGAGCGTCAGATGTGGTTTTACATTGGTGGAGCGGCCATCGGCTCAGTGGTGCGATTGACCGGTGACTCTTTTGAGAATCATGAATGGAAACCCTTTTGGGAGAGATATTTCTTCGAAAACTTCCGAGACAAAGAAATGCATTGGACGTGGCTACGCTTCGCCATGTCTTGGGTGGTAAACCATCTTCTGGCAGACATCATCCTTCTGATGCTCCCGGTCATCTTGATGCAGGCAGATGACAACATGGACTTTGTGAAGGATGCAACGTCTGTCCTCTTCATCTCTGAGCTCGATAACATCTCGAACGCCATAGACATTAAAAGGCAATCCAATCAGCCATCCGGACCACCACCCAAAAAAACCGGCCAACCCCAAAAAGACACCGAATGAAGAGCCATTTGCCACAGCGAAGCTGTGCAGCAGCGAGTGCTCATCATCACTGGACTTGCCGTTGGGCAGTCCCAGTTGAACGAACATGCTTAGGCGGCATTGTGCGGCAACCGGATTGTTCAGACCCGGGTGTGGCTAGCTGCCGTCCAGGCATGATCAAAAGTGCGCGAGCCAGCTTCAGCTGGCGAACTCTTGGCACAGCGCTTTGTTTTCGTCGTTTTCTTCATCTTGTTCGGATGCAGCGAATCTGATACTTGGACAGAAGTGCGGCAACCTGTGCTCTTCAAGCCGAGGCCCACAAGACCCATCACGGACGATTCTTGGAGGTTGGAAGACGTGGAAGGGAGGATTTTGTTGGTTCACTGCCCCCTATCAAAGACGAGAGTCCATTCTTTCAACCAGATCTAAGATCGACGTTTTTACATTATAGTTGGACTGAACTGGATCAGTTGGACTGGAGTTTGTGTGATGTTTAGTCTGCAGAGTCTGCAGTGGGACTTTGAAGGCCCTTCTGGCAAGTTGCTGGCTGGAGTTGGGCGTTCATGCAACAGCTTTCGTCTATCATGATTTCAGAGTATCTTCATTGCCACCCAGCACTCATCTCAACTGAACACAACTATATATACACGGTATACATTTCTGATGTCCAAAGGTCCACTGCAACACGTTGACGTAGCTTGTAGCTTGCCAGATCCGTTGGGTCCACGCCGCCACGCCGCGCCGTTGCGTCCGCGCCATGGCGGCCTGGGCCGAAGGGTTGGTCTCCGCGCAGACGGCCTTGAAGGAGGGCAAGCTCTTCGATGGCGTCCAGGCGATCAATGCGTGCATGGAGGCGGGGAGGTGTCCAGGGGAAAACGGGAAGAAACCATGGTCACCAAATGATGTGGGGCATATGGGGGGACAAGTGCAGATAAACTACTGTATATAACTTCTTTGACCCATTAAAGGCAATGGTCTCAAAAATGCCTTCAGGACTCGGACTCAGGACTTCCTTGCTTACGTTCTTGAGGTGATAAAGAAACCCTGTTCTTGACTCCTGTTCTTTGTTCCACCTGGAGGCTTTCGCCAAGGCGCTGGGTGATGAGACGGACCAAGTACTGAGAGACCCCATGGCCTTCCTGGAAGCACACGTTGCAAAGCTCTCAGGCGAGCAGAAGGATGCGCTACGCACGATGTATGAGGTCAGAGGTGACATCATCACGGGCTTAGGAGCGAACAAGCGAGCCGCCCTGGACTACAAGTCTGCTGAGATGCTTGGAGCTCAGAGTAGTGCTGCTTCGGAGTAGCTTTTGAGCGGTCCCATCTCCAATGATCTGGGAGTGGCAATTATATAATCCTCTCAGCACTTTCTTTTTCTTGCTACATCTTGTCCCAAATGTTATATATAGACCATCCTAACAATGATGGTTTGAAGTCTAAATCGCCCACCAGGAAGCTTGGAGCTCAGATCAAAGACAAAATCGCCAAAGCCGAGACCGCCGGCAAAGAGCAGGCGAAAGGAAGCAACAAGGACAAGGTGCCTGTCACCGTGCTGACTGGCTTCCTGGGCAGTGGTAAGACGACCTTACTGAATCAGATTTTGAAGGAGTTTCATGGCAAACGCATCGCTGTCATTGAGAACCCGGGATTTGCTGAGCGTTTCGGGATTTTTGGTGACGTGCCCTCATATCAGGGTGAATCCCCCTCACCTGGGGAATATGATATATTGTTTCCCCGCTTCCTTGTTTGAGCTGCACAATCCAAGGAATGAATTTGGCGAAGTGGGCATTGACGATAGCCTCATTGAGGGTTCCTCCATGGCCATGGAGGAGAACATCATCGAAATGAACAACGGCTGCATTTGCTGCACCGTCCGGGGAGACCTCATCGCCGGCCTGAAAAAGCTGATCAAGAATTCCATGAAGAGCGGCCACCCGGTAGAAGGGCGGTGCGCTTGGGCGGATCGTTGTTTGAGGCGGTTTTTCGGTGGTTTTTAATAAGGAATGTGTTTTGTAACTAAGGTGTTGTGAAGGTGTTTGGGTTGATCTTTTTCCGGTGTTTAGGTTCGAGTCGCAGTCGAGTCGGGGAAGTCGAGTCTGGTTCTTTTCATGTTCTTTACGCGAGAGGCCCTGAGGTAAAATCCAGCACAGGGACTTTTTCCAGGGGATTCTTCCTTTCGAGGTCCATTCCAAAAGAAACAGCCCAAGTGCTTTCCAGGTCCCATCTTTTATATCGCTGTCAGGACTATATGGTTCAAATCCCCAAGTGGTGGTGCTTTTTCTCCTGGCATTTGGGACGAAAAGAGGGATTTGAACCATTGCACGTTCCGGATCGGTCCATGTGGGCCTAGGCAAGGCGCTGGACGGTGTCATCATCGAGACCACCGGCTTAGCGGACCCCGCGCCGGTGGCGCAGACCTTCTTCGCGGACGACTTCGTGCAGCAGAACTTGTATTTGGACGGTCTCCTGGGTTGTGCTTGAAGGTCAGGTGATCTTTTTGGTCTCTTTCCGGTTCCTGGGTGAATCCCCTTGTGGAAGATGTTACTTTTCTCTCCCGGTTCCTTCACAAGCCAATTCCAAGGTATCGTGACGTTGGTGGATGCCAAGCATTTGATCTTGCACCTGGATGAGGAGAAACCCGAAGGGGTGGAGAACGAAGCCGTGGAGCAGGCGCGGCGGGGACGAAGGGACTGGCCTGGAGCTGGCGTTGAAGATCATTCGGACTGGTGTGAGTCCAGTCCGTTCGTGGGATTTAGATGGTTTTAGAATGTTTTAGATATGCCAATGATGACGCAACCATGTTCAGTAATAAGGGGCGAGTGTCTTTTTTTCTCTTTCCGTTCTAAACTATTGGATGATCTGCACGATTTTCCCGTTCCTCCCTGTCTTTATGGCATGCAACCAGCGCCCAGCGCCACATGCAAAAAGCCCTTGCTCCGGTCCTTCAGCACCCGCATAGGTGGCCTTTGCGGATCGCATCATCTTGAACAAGTGCGACCTGGTGGATGCGGCGCAGCTCGATGAGGTGGAGAAACGCGTGCGCATGATCAACGAACCCGTGAAGATCGTGCGCACCACGCAGTCCAAGGTTTCGCGGAGACGAGACGCGGAGCGCGGTTCCGCGCGGCGAAGTCCGGCGAATGTGAAGGGTGGGAGGGGTCTAAGGAGCCAGAGCCGGCGAAGGGTCTGAGAGGCAGAGGGAAGAGAGTCCACATGACCCTCCAGGTAAGCCCACATGACCCACAGGTAGGTCCACATGACCCTCCAGGTAGGTCCGGTAGGTTGCCATATATGATATGCAACAAACTAATTACCTGGGTTGGGAGATTCCCTTTGCCAAAGTCATTGGCCAAAGAAGTTATAAGCCACACTGTCATATCGTACCTCACTGCACCTAGCAGAAGGACAAGATAGAAAGTAGACCACTGTCCACCCCCCTCAGGTGGATATGGACTTCATCTTGGGCATCGAAGCCTTCAACTTGGACAAGATCTTGGACACCTGATTTTGCTGATCAGGTGATTGCTTGCAAATTTTCCCTACAGATATACTATCATGGACCAGCACTTAGAATATGAAATCCTAAAATTTAGGAATAAATTTCCTAGTCAACTGTATGGTTTTTTCCTCCTACCCTGGGACATGTATATCAAAAAACTCTAGGTTCCTGGACATCCAGAACCTAAGGACATGGATGATGGCTTCTTGGCCGATGAGCAGGACCACCAGCATGATGAGCGTGTGAGCTCTTGCGGCTTTCATGTCAAGGGAGAGGTGGCGCACCAGAAGCTCAATGATTCCTGGATGACCGTGGAATTTCTCCGAATTCTTTATTGTTCTGTTTTTCTGTGGAAATGTGGGTGTGTATTAGAATGGGGGGGCCCGATTCTTGAACCTCCTTGGAAGAAGGGAAAGCAACCACAACCCACTGGTGGAGGGTTGCCTTATTGAAAATACACATCCATGTGGGAATGGCTATTCCGATGCATGCCATTTTCTGGGGATGGTTTACGAACCAGGAGTGGCTCGGAGCGCTCCTGAAGGAGAAGGGCCAGGATTTGTTCCGTACCAAGGGGGTGTTGGCCGTCCAGGGGATGAAGCAGAGATTTGTCTTCCAGGCGGTGCACATGGCGTGCAACTCTGCTCCACAGAAGGACTGGGAGGCAGATGAGGAGCGCATCTGCAAGTTGACCTTCATTGGCAAGAATTTGAACCGGAAAGAACTGGAGGATGGCTTTAAGAAATGCTTGGTGAATGGCGGCTACACAGTGAATTGAGACGTTTTTTCTTTATTTTTCTTCGCCGATCCAGCTCACTAAGGGGCGAGTCTGGTGGCATTGCATGGTCCGCGACATGGACGCTCGAGAGGTGAGTTTCATTTAGTCAGGACGCTTGCACAAGGATCAAGTCCAGTTTTGGCTTCAGAGGGGTGTCAGCTTTTCTTGTGCTCCCATTTTTGTTCGAACTGAGCGTGGGCAAGGTTCGAAACCAGCATAAACAAAGTGCGGCCCCTTGGGCAGGCAACATGAAGTGCACAGCAAAAAAGTTGAGCTCTGCTGGGATTTTTCACGGCAGTTCTGGTTTCAAGTCCACCCTTGTTCCATGGGCATCCAACATATATGTGCTTCCTACCAACATGCATCCCAAGATTGTTGAAGTGATGACAGCCAGCGATAGCTGAAGTTCCTTTTGCTTTGGCGATGCATTTCCGGAATGCTGCTAGTGTCTGAGGAGGAAAGCTGTCGAGCTTATATAGTGACCTGGTTTCACCGCCTCATCTTCAAAGACTTTGCACACTTTGCCTTGCCAATGCTTGGCATCCCTGTCGAGTCCCTCACTTCTTCTTAGATTGGTCCAACATCCTTGATTTCTGCTGAAGAAGTGCGGGGGAGCATAAGCACCGTGAACTATATGGTGAAACATACGCATACAATGCGCATATATATATATATATGTATAGATGTGTATATGATATAGTAGGTATCTTCTTACCATTTGTTCCTTGGGGTCTCAAGCTGGTCGTTGGTGCCAGGAAGCCTTGGGCTGCAACCTCTTTCCTTCGGAAACCTGTCGTCCTCTTGGCCTTCGCGGCTTGGCTCCATGGCCTTGCATGGCCTTCGTCCTGTGCTCGCTGGCTACGTCGAGAGAGTGAGAGTGAGAGTTGGTTTCCCGTACGTTGGCCAACACGAGATGACCGACCCCAGAGATGAGTTGAACACCTAGGACCAGATGAGAGAGAGAGAGAGAAATGCCATGAAATGCCTTTCCAACACCTTTTTCTGCTTCAAGAGGATCGCTGCGCCCGGTTCGGAACGAGGCTTTTGGGAAGCGGTGAAGGCAGCCTATTTGGCGAAACTGAAGTGGGCTAGTTCCACCGCCTGCCAACAGCAGTATCGCAGGACGGGGAGGAGCTTCAATCTGATGAGCTTAGGTTCCATGGAATTCCATTCTTGTGCTTGATAGCCTCAGCAGTCAGCAGGCTTGTCAGCACAAGTTCCGACCTTCTCGAAGTTAGGTATGTGTCCAGTAAGTGTTATGAACCTACTACGTACTTCAGCCAGTCGCTTGGATGAGGAATGATGAGGAATTGCAGTCCTAGTTTGCCTGAAAGCCAGGATTGCAGACGTGGCGGGCAAATGGTAGAGTGAGTTTGGTATCAGCACATGAGCTTCTGGCTTGCGGGTTGACACCAAATTCACTCTGCCAAGCACTGCTTGCAGATGAGTCGATGCCCGAATCCCAGTCAAAACAGGTGCCCAGGTCTCAGTTCGTGGGTCTATCAGCCAATCCTCGCGCGTGGCGTTCTCCGTGTCGATGGCACATGCCGAGGAGTCCTTCTTCGCGAGCGGCGACCGAGTCCCGCCGCAGGTGGGGAAGGATGGAAGGTCATCATCGGGTGACGTTTAGGGATGCAGGATGAAGATCGTTATGGTTTTGATGTGTTACATGGCGGGTGTGTGTGGATGCCGACTGCTCTTCCTCCCTCACCAGCCGCTGGAGTGATGTGGAGATGTGGGAATTACTTCCGGGCCCGGGTCAGACCTAATTGGACCAAGAATCGGTTTTGGGAAGACGGTGGTGGTTTCATGTGGTCTACCCACGCAAATCCTTGGTTCAATGCTGCCCATTTGTCGGGCTATGTGTAATCCAACCCTCCAAACGGGCAATGAGTATCAGAGTCGAGGGGTTCCACTCGCTTAGTGGGGATGCTGCATGATTTCGAGGCTTTTGGTCTTCAATCCTGAGTATATTTGTGTGAGCCAGAGTTTAGGTTCGTCCACTCACATTAAAACGAAGCGAGCTAACGCTTCGCCGGGTTCAGCCCCCAGGTGTCATTCTACATTTCAATCCCTTGCCTTTCAAACTTGCGGACTTGACCATCCCACACTCAGTGACTCACCTTCTCACCAGGTGTTGGGCCAAACTTCCCGGACGTCGTGTCCTACCCCGACCGCATTGTTTCCCGCCACCGGGGGCCACGTCGCCTTCCGTCCCTCTCAGGTGCTCCGGAGGAGCGGCCGTCTCGCTCGCTCGGCCTCAAAAAGGCAGCGGCTTCGATGCAGCTTCGATGGGTCGCGCGGCATCCGGGATCGACCGCACCTGGTAGGGGCTCTACTTATGGGGTTTCAACGCTTGGCCTGGACAGCTTTTGGTTTTGGAGCCGAAGGATCGTGTCAGGTGGTCGCATCGAAGTCATCTCCAATCTGTATCTCCAGTTCCAAACCCACCTTCAGTTCGGTGTTCGCCCCACACCGAACTGAAGCCGGAACGAGCCTTCATGGGTGGTGAAAGCTGCTTTGGGGGCAGGTTGTGCGAGTTTGAAATCGATTGTTCAGCTGATTCTTCTTTCAGCTTGGAGGCCGAGTGTGAACATCTGTTCGTTCCGGGCATCCCAGTGATGTGAACCATCTGTGTACGTCGGTTTGTCGGCTAACGAAGCTGGGAGGTCAATCCGATTTGGCCACGACCTTCCGGCCTTCAGAACGAACTTCGGAAGGACCTGCAGGGCTCAAATCCCATTCAAATCCCCATTCAAAGGCCTCGAGCTGAGTCTGAGTCTAGTCTGCGAGTCGTCTTGAGAGACCTAGCGTCGTAGAGAAGAGAGAGAGAGGCAAAAAGAGAGGGAGGCACACTCCAAGCCGCTTTCGGGTCAAAGGTGATGAATGATTCGATCTGTACGATTCAGAGATGATCTTTGAAGGCGGTGCGAGTTTAGATGACGAGAGAAAATCTAGTTCTTGTGGGACATGTTTGGCAGCCATGCTTCAGAAAGCACCAGCTGTCTATCACTTCCGCCGTCGCCCAACATAGCCGCTTTAAAAAGAACAGCCAGAGCAAGGCGAGCAAGACTCACCATGGGCGCCAATTTAGTTCAACTCAGGAAGGACATGCTGATTTGCACCTCAGATATCACAGAAAACATCAGACAACTGCTTTGTATCCGATAATACTTCGCGGCTGCGCCATGTTGACTTCCTCCGCCGGAGGGATGTCTCTGCTGGACGAGCTGATTGCTTGTGTTCATTATCGAATTCTGCTGTGCATGGATGAAGGGGCCCTCTCGAGTCTTTCAGCGCCAATCAAAGCGGGTCCCATATGGCAGGGCCTGGAGGACGAACCCCCAAAAGAGTGATAAGATTTATTAAGATTTGATGTATATGTAAATGATGTGTATGTTAGTATGTTTTGTAGGTTTTTGATTGATAACGCCCCCCCCCCCTCTTCACATGTTTTTTGAGTAAGGAGCCGACATTATGTGTATCCGATGTCCAATGTATAAAGTAAAAAGTTATACGCGTCCTCCGCCAGCAGGGGGATGTAGGCACATGAACATGTAGCTGATGACAACCACATGGACATGCCATCCACGGTGACGAGCGTCACATGAGCAAGAAGAGGGCGGTTGATCTGGAGACCCTCTGGGATCACGGACGAAGCTCTCACGAAAGCCGTGTTTTTTTTTCTTTTTTACGGATAGCTGGCTGGTGGCTGGTGGAGGCTTTTGATTGATCTTCTTCACATACTTCTGAGGGAAGATTTCCCCTCGGACTTGATGCTGTATGTCTTGGGGTGATTATTCAAACCACCAGCTACTAAGCTACTAGAAGACGTGGGTTTTTTGAGCTCGCTTTGCAGACTTTGTCCCAAATCATGCACGTCGACGTCCACTTTAGGTGATTTGCTGCCCGTGAATGTGGGTGAGTGTTTATGGACAACAGCCCGCTTCGGGGGTTCAAGCATCATGCTTTTGTTTGGTGCCTTTTTTTGGAGTACTTTTAGCAGAAGGTTTGCCCGCCACCACTGGTCTATATAACCTTTATCATGAAAATTGGTAAATGTCTTCAATTGTCACCACCATGAATCATCAGCTATTCGTGATGAGGAGGATGCCACACCCTTCCTTCTTCTGCTGCACATTTAGCATCACTTATGTAATAATTATGTAATCACATCAATCACGTGCTAAGAACCTACCGACAATAGCATAAACGTGTTCGATTCTCAACCACCTTTGCTCCGAACCGTCGTTCCTTTGGCACGAGTTCTTCCCTCCACGCTGCCCACCCCAACAACCGCGGCATTCTGCCGCTGTCCTGCCGCCGCTTTCCGCCGCGGCAAGCACCCGAGGCATGGGCTCCTGCAGCCATTCCTTACACCAAATCGCCCGCTCGCAGGTCGGCGGCGGCGCCGCGGGCGCTTCGTTCGCCGGTCGGACGGACGAACGACCCCGGACGCCTTGTGTCGGTGTGGAAGACGGTCCCGCACATCGGTCCGTGGTGTTCCGTGGTGTCGAAGAAGTGGCGAACGTCCTGAGGTGTACTGTACATTGCCTGGGGGGAAATGGCCCGCCCCTCTCGCAGGTTGGCGCCAGCAAGTTATGGTGGTTGATGGTGGTTTCAAAAGTGATATGATATTGACTCAGACAAGCTAATCGATTCTTTAAAGTTAACAGATTTTAGTAGATATTTGATATTATGTAGTAATCCTACCCACCACTCCTAGACCATTCATCGATGACGCTGGCTATTCCTGGCGTCTTCCTTCCTCACCAGGCGCTGTGGCAGCGCTTGGCCATGTGCCGCGATCGCCTGGCCGCCGCGCGGTTCTTGGGCAGCTTTAGCCCCGATGCCCGGCGGACGCCTGGCGGCACCGTTGGACGCTATGCGAACGCCACGCCGGGAGGGGGGAAGGATGAAAGGAGTCAGCGAACAAGGTGAGATAGGGACAATAAAAAGGTACAGTCGGGTACAGTATGTCGAGTGTGTCTCTGTGTTGGGTCATGTTCTTTTAGTTTTCTTTTCCTCCAGGTGGTTAGTTAGTTAGTCCTACAATTATAGCTGTCGGGTTCTTGACCTGGTTTACTGTACACTGTACACCCACCGACTCGGGATCGAAGCTGTTCTTGGTGTGGCGTTTTAAAGCTCCCATCGGCTGGAAGAAGCTCCCACAGCAACTTGGTCCATCAACTGTACCTACAGCAACTCTCAGTCCCAGTGCTTCTTCCACAACCTCCAAGAAGTTGCAAGAACTCACTGTAGGCACTGTAGGCCTCCCACAGAATGTATATTCGCTTTTGCGTATCCAGCAACCGCTGAATGATAGCGAGCCAGGCAGGATCCTTTGCAGCAAATTCATGATCTGGAGCCTGATGAGTAGGTGCATGTACAGTAGGACATGGTGACCTACATGTTTCTTCTTGGAGGTACGGCAAGTCTGGACCACAGCCGCGCAATCATGTTCGATCCTTGTTTTTTTCTTCCCACTTAGCTGCTACGAAGTACTAATTGACAGGCACGTGAACATCAAGCGCACTTGATAGTCTCACACCTGATAGTTCAGAATGCACAACAACAAAGACAACAAATGTCTTCGATGGACACAACATCCGCACAGCATTTCATGTGGCCTTTTGCAACCCTGGGTGCTTTGCTCCCCTTTTGGGAGCGGGGTTGGCACCAAATACCCAGAACCGGAACACTGTTTTTGTATGAGCCCTGGCGGTAGCAACTGGGCCATGCTGCTGCCCCCTCTAGTTGCGCTGTAGATGACAACCACACCGGTATTATATATATAGACTTAATACAATCTGACTATGGAGAAAATTACACTTTAGCAGAACTTTGAAGAATCTACCTCGGTGGTTGTATGCCTCCCGGAGAATCTGAGAGTCTTGTCAGCAGATCAGTGGTTGATCTCACTGAGGCCTGTGGTGACCACCGAAGACCCCAGTCCTTATCTCCCTTGCTCCCGCTTCGTGCCGAGCTCCATGCACAGCGGGGCTTCCGGCGCGTTGAACGGCGAGGGCACCATTGATTGGAGAGCCTGGGCTGTAAGCGAAGCTGAAGCAGATGGGCAGGATCCAACGTATCACTATCTAGCTTATCTAGCTGGTGCCATCCATATTCCCCATGAAACAGGGAGCCAGGGAGTTCCCAACCCCGTAAGCTAGCAAACTGTTGCTCACTTGGAACTTTTGTACCCGTCGTTGCGGCCAGACTTGGCGAGGATTGTGGCTGGAAGAATCATTCCTAGACTTGTAGAAATTGGTTTGCAAGGGAGAAACCCATACTGTAGACATCCAACCACACATTTCCGCTATAGCAATGGAAAAGGGCTATACCACGCAAGTCCAATGACACACGGAAGTAAGGAGATGTGTGCCGCCATTTGAACAAGTGCATGGCCGAAAGACCCTGGGAAGAGGTGCCAGAAGCTTCGAACGGCCTCTCAGATGCAAAAGGGACTGGATCAATAGCATGGGTTGTGGGAGCACAACCTACACTCATGTTGTTCTTCGTCGGAGTTGCAGGTTGGTGTGTATTATTTAACACCTGAGGCATTTGTCGAAACCTGTGGGCAGTGAGACAAGTGTCGTCATTGCATGTGCTGTATTTTGCATGTTGTGGTGCTAGAGAGGCACGAATTCCCGCTCCGATTCAACATATAATATATATGTTGCACAATACTGATGAGGGCTTTGTGGAGAACCCTTCTGAAAGTCAACTCCGTCCTGGATCTTTCTCCTGTTGAAGAAGTCCAAGTCCTACACCACCTAAAATGAACAAACTACCCAAAGCCTGGAAGATTGGTGCACCTTTTTCTCCCTTCAACCCGATCATTTTGATGCATCACCCCTACTTCGAGCGGGCAATTCAAAGTGAAACACCAACCACCTGATTTTCTCAAGACCTCGCTTTAATCTCGCGACCACCACAACAAGAACTCCTCCATAGTCAGTCCTCCTTCCTCCCCAAAGTAAGGAGACCAGCCTCCTCACTCGCTGCAGACTCCTCCTCCTCCTCCTCCTTCTCCTCCTCCTCCTCCTTCTCTTCCGGTTCTTTGCCCCGAACCTCTCGCTTCGGCTCCCGAAAGGCACCGGCCGCGGTTCGTCCCTCCAGGACGCAGCGCCGCCCTGTGGACCGACTTGACCGACGACGGGAACGGCGCAGACGACGGCGCCCCGAACGAGCCGCCGCCGACGGGAGCGACGCTGCTGGGGTCGCAGTCGCCGCACGTGTTTTGGATCGGCGGCGACCGGCTCCTGGGCGCCTTGGCGAGACTGCGAGAGGCGGTGGGGAGCGGGCGAGTGGAAGTGCGGGCCGGCGAGAGGGCGCCATTGGCCTGGTGGGGTGGGGTGGTGGTGGGGTGGTAGGGTGGTGGGGAAGTTAAGAGTTCTACGTTCCTTGTGGGCCGACCATGGTGAGGGAGAACCCTAGAAAGCCAGAATTGGGAAAGCCGGGCTAGTTGGAGAGGTGTGCAGGTGCTTTTTGACGGATTTTTGCCGCTGACTGTATCGCACATGGCATGAGGAAAGACGTCCATGAACAGGCTTTCTCAGGCCACGTGGACCAGAACAAGTAAACTTCAATGCCATTGACGCCTGCTGAAACCCATTGCTGAACATTGCTGAACCTCCCCCCCACACATTGCTGGAAAAGCCAAACAAAACGCAACACACCAAAAGCAATGCAATGCAAAACAAACAAACAAGCAAGCAAGCCAACCCCCCAAAAAAGATCGAATATCTACAAGCAAACAGCCGCTCCCCCGTCCTCGCCTCGGGTGCGTCGCACGGGCGTCGGCTTCGCACTCGGTGCGGAGCCGCTTCAGGTCTTGCGGGCGGCTATTCACCGGACGTGGTCGGCGGATCTGCCATTCACCCGTTGAGGGAGATCTATTTGAGCTTTGGATCGGAAGGGGGAGAAAGCAACCGGTGAGTTCAGGAGTGGTGGAAGCTGTTTGGTCGTATTTCACCGTGAGGTTCTCATTTTCTGCCCATTTTCATCAACATAGGGACCAGAGCCTTGCAAGTCATACTGGTAGCAGATGGCCACTTGACTCGTCACTGCAGGTTGTTGGTGACGTGACTAGTTGGAGAAGGCGGTAGCCGTGGACCCATCATAGTGCTACCAGAGTTCCACAGCTACAGGAACTACATTTGTAGACGGTCAATTTGATTTGCAGTTGCTTTGTCAAGAGCGGCGCAAGCATGCCCAATTCGGGCAAAGCTTTGGACAGTAAAGCAGCTTTTCATGTTCTTCCTGTTGGCACTCTGATGAAACTACTGCCTGGCTTTCATTAAAACCTGAAAAGTGCAAGTCGGTGATCCATCGACACCCGTCGAATTGCTTTCTTGCTCCAGGTCGAATGGTTTGTCCGGCGTTACCGGTCCCGATCACCGCCAAAAACCACCGGTGACCTCGACAGATCCGATAGATGTACATCATCCACGGATGGCGATCCTTGTTACGTCGACCGGTCACGTTGGTTGAGGATGGATCTTCCTGACATCTCTGACTCACACGCGACGCTCACACGGCCGGACCTCTCTGTGAAGAAGCTTGATTGTGGCACGGCCAATGGCAGGCCACTGCGACACCATCACCAGTTAGTTGTGAACCCAAAGAACACATCCTGCTAGAGGGAGCAAGTTTTGCAGCTTCAAATATGCCTGTTAGATTTGGAACCTTGGTTTGCCTATTCAAGATTCACTGGCATCTCGGATGCACTGGCATCTCGGATGCGATTGAATAAGTCAGATTGATTGCTCTTGTTCAACTTCTATAAATTGACATCGTTGGTAGGTCTGGACTAGACCTACATATGCGAGGGGCTCATGACCTTCACATGCCAACCTCCAAGCATTGCCACGCGTGCAGGTTGCCGCACGGGCACCCCTCGGTGAACGGCTGCGCATGCGACTTCGATGCCTTGCGCTCCACGATCTTCTTCTTCGGCGGCGGTACGCCGCATGCAGAGGTGCCGGGGAAGGATGGCAGCGAAGGGCGGGATGAAGGAGGTAAGGATGGCCACAGATCGGATATGGTCGGAGATGGAGACCAGTTGCACGGATCGTGGATTCACTACAGTCACATGTGCTAGGCTTGGAATATGGACACCGGGATCTGGATCTATGAAGTGCTCGAATTAAGCCTCGATTTGCGGGATGTTTTGAGATCACCCAGGACTCTCGGTTCATAAAGAAGCGATCTTTAACTAATTAATGGGACTCAACTTGTCAACAATCCGGAGACTGCAGTCTGCAGCTATAAAAAATGTTCAACCCATGCTTGTGCACTCCACATTTTGATCTGATCCCGCTCCCTCCCGTCTCCTCCCTCCGCCGCTTCAGCGCGCCAGGTCTACCACGCCACCAGCGCTTTGCGCTTGGAGGGCTGGGACGGGGCGAACCCCACGGCCCAGTGGCAGGTGGTGTCCTCGCCCGGCAGCATCGAAAGTGACGAGATCCCTTTGGCTCGACAGGGGGTCAAGGGACGCTTGGGCGTGAGTCAGGGTGGTGAGGGGGATGGGTTTTGGGGCGCTGCGCGGTCTGGGTCTCTTCCAGGGCAGTCTAGGAGTCTAGGGCTGTGGTAAGTCTATTTTTGCGACGCTGCTGGTTTTTAAAGCTTTTGCATACAGGACTGGCGTAAGAGGGTGGTAAGTCTATTTTCAACGCTGCAGCAGCGTTAGAGATTTTTGGAGTTCTTTGGGCGGTGGGCTTTGAGCCACGAAAACCCCGAGTCCCACACGAGGGTTCCGATTTAAAAGCACCAACCAGCTGTTGACATCCTTCACCGGAAGCGACAAAACATCCAACAACAAGAAGAAATGTATGAAACTCATTCAATGAACCACACCCAACAACAAGAAACCACGAACAAGTATAAACCTCACAAAAGCTCGTACAACACTTACTATTCTTGTTTGGGTCTCCGGGGTCTCCTCAAGTCCTCAACTCCGATGAGGAACGGTGTACTGTGATGAGTTTGTGATCTTCGGAGGGCGCTTGCAGGGCGGCCGCTGCACGAACGACGTTTGGTCCTTGAACTTGGAGGGAGCTTTGGCAGCGAATCGACCCGATGACTGACGCGTTTCGCTCCCATCCCCCACCGGCGACACGGTGGGAGGCCTTGGTGGGAATCTGCTGGGTGTTGGTGGTAGGCAGACCTATAGGATTCCAATCACCACCAAATAGGCTTTACCATGCTTTACCCAACAACCCTTGTTTGAATAAGGACCTTACCAGGTCAACCATGCTAAAAATGGTCTTGGACTCCCAGGGCAGATGTAGTGAGCCGCACCAAGAAGGAAAACACATACACATGCGGACTGGATTAATTAGATGCAACCCGGGGAAGAATTCACTGAACAGCCGCACAGGGTTCCAATATGTTCCAACCCTTACATGTTGGGGCGTACTTTCTTGGTTATTCGGCCAATTTGGGGCCGGTCGAAGGGATATTGGACTCGCAAACCAGGGCAACAGTCCCTGTTTGACGAGGAGCTGCGCCGGTGCGTTTTCTCGCGCCGAAAAACAGGTTGACCGATGGTCCTGTTGTCGTTGTAAAGGAGTGAGTGTGTCGTGAAGTGCCTGAATTCGTCCGTCCCATGTTCCATGGTGCTTGAGGGTGGTTTCAAGGCTGCTTCTATCGATTTTCCGTGTGCTTCTCGGCGGGTCACTGCCTCTCTACAGCCAGCGGAAGAGCTGAAAAACACACCTCAGCCGTCTGTGAGCCTGGTGAGGTGATTCCTTCTCCTCACCTCCGACCTTACCCTGGAGGTTGGGGAGACCGAGAGTTCGGGTTGTGAGCTCCAAACCGGTGGGGGGGGGGGCGGAATATCGGACTGTGGGCAAGCGAGTATGCCACCACACCATGCATGGTATATCGATATTTGGTGGCGGTATATCTTATATTATAATATGGTATATATGTTAATGGTGTATCGCTTTAACAATTTATAATGGTTTTCAATCATGGCTTGCATGAATGTGAGACAAAAACATGACGACCTCACCTGGCAGGATCAGTGGGAAAAAACCCTGAAATCATCATCCTCATTATCCTCGTCATCGTTGTCGTCGTCGTCGTCGTCCTGGAATTCTCCCCAACCCCCAGGTCTCACGGGAGAAGATCTCCCCACAGCCTCCGTTGTCATTGGATTCATGCGCTTTTTATGCACTGGCGAGGCGCCTCGACTGTGATGGTCAAGCGCCCTCACCTCGTGTTTGGCACAGCGCGTGCCAAGCAGTTCACGGCCAATGGTTGCTGAGCTGCACGGTAGAGTTTTGAGTGTTATATTAATATTCCCTAGGGCTCCAACCATATCCTCAGAAGGTGGTTAGACCCCCTAAACCCACCATAATCATCTTCTCAGGAGGTAGGCCAGGAGCCTTAGGGATTTCTTTACTTTACCAGCTTTAAAGGTTGGGTATTAGATCTTTCCCACCATTTTGCCGAGCCGTGTCCCTACGAACCATCGTCTATACAGTCGTTGATGAATCATTCACCGTTTGCAGCGACCATCAAAAGTACTGTCCAGGGAGCAAGATACCAGTTGTGTGTGTGAATTGGTTGATTCTTGCTATCCCGGGCTATCCCGAGCCAGCCAGGAGAAATATCATGAAATATCCAAAGGGAGGGCACACCCCCTCCCCCGTAAGGTCTGCCATGCTTCACCTGTGGCGTCCTGTAGCGTTGTTTTAGAGCGGGTGGGACATGCAAAGGCGCACACCGCCGCTCAGTGCTTTTCATCCCGTGGGATTTTGAAGGACTCCTAAAGCCCCGTTCTATAGATACTAAGAGGTTGCCGCGACCTCCCCCGGCCCCTTGATGAACCGGTGCGAAGGTTCATCTACGGCGGGAGCACTTGGCAGTTCGAGGTCCGGCAATGGATGTTGAAAGCCGTTTGGAAGTCGAGCGAACATAGAAGAGGAACTGGCAGACATCAACTAGTAACAAGTGCATCGCTACCAGTAACAAGGGCACTAGTACCAGTAACAAGAAGCTACCAACAATGGCATCGCTACTAATATAGCAAGTGCAGTTCTAGTAGTAGCAAGTGCCCTACTGGTAGTCACCAGAAGCTACCAGTACTGTAGCGATGCCCTGCGCCCTTCGCCCTGAGCCGTTTCGCCGTGAGCCGGTCCGTTCGCGGTTCGGAATTCGGAGCTTTCCCATCCTGGAAGGAACGGAAAAAAGCGGGGAAAGTCCTTGTACGATGGTTGGAAAGTGAGCCACCCCCCTTTCAGATCCCTCTCGGGTCGCAAGTGAACAAGAAGAAGTCGGACATGTTCATTGCCCGAGTGGGTCTCCTTTGTTCCTGCTTGTGGCCCCAAACACTAGAGTCACTAGAGCATCCGCTACGCGAGGAGCCCGCCGAACCTCATGACTTCAGATCGCTCTTTGTCGGGAACCTCAGGACCAACCAACTCAGGTTTTCGCACCCACGTCCGCTGCCGGCGAGCTTTTTCCTCGTGGAAGGGGTCCTGAAACTGCCTCGACTGCGGGCTTTTGAAAGGGTTGTCATGCTTTGTAGATGTGTTCGGTTTTGCAAATGTCGAGTATCACGGAAAGGGTTGGAAGGAAAATGAAGGATCACTTGTAGCAAGTGCTTTTGCGTAGCATTCTTGTATCACACGAGGTGGTCAGAATCATGTTCCTGAACCATGTGGAACAGTGAACTCACCAGCTGTAGAGTTAGTGACGGGACTTGCATTTTCCATGAAAGAAGAAACTTGAAGAATACCGATTGAGGAAGGTCGTTTCGACACCAGTTTTCTTTGTTTTTGATTTTTTGGAGTGAGTAACCATTGGCCAACAGAGAACTGTTCAACTCGTTGTTTTTTGCTCGAGTTGACCTATGTTGAACTATGGGTCGATCAAAAGACTCCAGCTCAGTCCACCGCCACTGTAGGTGCTACACATTGCGGAGAGGCACTGGCCACCAACATTTGTCAGCATGGTGTTGAAGTGATGTCCACAGCAGTTTTGGGACATCTCTCCTTGTCAGGCACCTCCCATGAACATGTCCACACTGCCATGAACTGCAGTTGCTCTGAACTTTCTTCCGAATGGATCCCACTGCCATGAACTGCAGTCCCTGTATAGCCCATACATATAATCCCTAAGGCTCCAATTATATCTCCTGAGAAGATGCTTATGGTGGGTTTAGGGGGTCTAACCACCTTCTGAGGATATGGTTGGAGCCCTAGGGTATAATCCCGTATAGCCTGCCCCCGACCTTGGCGCAACGAAGCGCGTGCAGGCGATGGTCTTCCTTAGCTGCTGCCTCACCCACACGGCCTCCGTGGGCAGTGGCCGCATGCCTCCTTCCGCCTGGGGGCCTGCGTTTTGTGGAAGGGCCTTCTTTGTGGTGCTTCGGTTCTAATCTGTGAGGCTTCTTTTGACATCAATCCGGCATCCCGTGGTGTTTTTGGACCTATAATCTGGGAGTCAAAGACTATACAAAGATAGGTCTTTAGGTGATCCGAAAAGGCATGTCCTCTTCTTCAGCCGGTCAATATATGGTCTTTGGACTTCTAGGGTATATAGTTTAATTGGCCTTTCTCTTAGACATCAATCCGTGGCTTGACTAGAAGTTGCTCCACTCCAACACATGCGATATCTTGCAATCCTTTCCCCACAAATCCGCCGTGTTTCCACGCGCACGTGCGATGCAGCGACCCAAGTATCAAAAAGGCCTCGTGTTGCTGAAAAGTATTCTTTTCGGCGATGCTCCTGAGGCTTGGATGTTGTCAGCTCTTGCTGCTCGGTGGGACCTTGCCCCACAAGCTGCTCGTCGTTGTCGACGAATGGGTGGGCTGGAAGCCGTGCGAAAGTTGGGGCGGGACTTTAGGACGACTCTGAAGTCAATGACCTTGGAGAAAGATTTATAATGACTCTTGATTCATAGAACCTCCCAAATATGCAGAGGCCAGAGGGTTTTACCATCCAAGTGTGGGCAAGTTTAAACATGAATCGAGAGTCATCAAATGTCTACGATGAACAGAGGGTGACGGTGACGTGACTCCGAATGTAGAGACAAGTCGCACTACCTGGCGGGGTCATGCGAGACAGCAACTCTGCCTCTCGGGTTCTTTGGGGTTTCGCCATTGGCTTCTACACTCGAGGATTGAAGATGGATTTCGGGTGTGCGACAATTGAAACCCCACATCTTTTCCAAAAGAACACCTACGAATTTGCTCCATAACAGCAGAGTTCAGAGTGTTTGTGCTCTTGACTTTCTGGACTACCAAGCGGAGCGTTTTGTTTTGGATTTTGCATCTCTTCTGCTGACGCTCTTATCCGAACTCTTGCTTGGAAAGTTAAGGGTCTTTTTGTGATTCCAGCCTACGGTTCTTCATCTCTCCTCCTGGTGCACGCTGCCAGAAAGCAGTGTTTGACTGCCTACCAGGGTTCAGTATTGGTTAATAGCCGACTTATTCTTGTTGCTTGCTTCTGACGCGCTGTTTCGTTTTGTGATGATGAACCATTTTGGACCTTTTGATGCACATGATGATGTACACTGACTGCTAGTAAAGACTGCATGCTAGATACTTTATTTACCTGCTGTACTACGACTTATTTTGTCATTTAATTGGTTGGACGTTGTCTTTCGAGTGCAACTGCCTGGCAGTTTCCATGTCATTGGTCATTCGGTCCATGGGGTAGGGCAGGGGCTGTACGCTTGGCTGTAGGTGTCATGTGTTTGCAGGGGAGGAATTTCGGGTAAAATTCTCCATGCATAATGTATGGCTAGTCATGTCCCGCATGTTAAGATCATGACACCAGGCACCATGTGTAGTATTTTTTGTGCTGGGGGATGGGCTGGGATGCTACTTGGCTTTGGCTTTACCGTTTGCATCCAGCGCCCCGCCTGAGGCTTGGAGCGACGGGACTCAATGCTCATTCCTTGCGGCACTGGCGATCATGGCCCCATCCTCAGTGAGCGACACGGGAAAGACGAGTTGCTTAGAGGCACAGATTGATTGACTCAAGGGAAGACGGCCTTCCGTAAAGCTTGAGGCACAGATTGATTCAAGGGAAGACTCAAAGACGGCCTTCCATTCATGGATGTGTCCCCAGCCATCATCAGTGGGAAAGGAAATGGAAGGTGAGTTTCACAATGATGGAGTTTGAATGTGTACTGTGTATAGTACACCGTGAAGAACCTCCCTTCGATAGCCATCGAACAAAAATAGGAAGTTGTCCTCTCAATTCATCTCAATTCGATGTGCCGGTCGCGACAGCATGGAATGTTGCACAAATCCAGGAGCTCATTCAAATCTGTATTCGGCAGCTGGAGATTTGCTAGCGTTGCTAACATTTGCCAACACTAGACTTGGGAAGTGGCTGTTTTCGTGGAGGAACATGTGCTTGACCAGGTTCATGTTCCAAACATTCAAGCGATTACTGACCATATGTTTAAGGGAGGCATAAACTTTTGCATGATGTTGCATGCCATGTTTGCCTTCATGACCAGCTCCATCCTACTGATCTGGGCCTGAGGGGCGACCAAAACCACGTGGTCACCTCGACCACGCCCCGAGACGCACCGCGCGACTTCAGAGCCTGGGCTCGGCCAGAAGTCGCACGACCCAGTGCATGAGGTACAATCGTTTGGATGAACCATGGGCCAGTACCTCAGTGGACGTGGAACGTGCGAATTCCACGAGTCCCGCGCGGAGACCATATTGCAGTGGACGCTGCGGGAGAACTCGCGACTGTTGGTCTCAAGAATGACGACGGTGTTTTGCAGGTTCGTGGTGTATCTGAAAAGCCTCAAGATAGAAACCACTCTCAATCCATCCATACGCCATTTTTGATGCCAATTTTGCCTTGTTGACCTTGTTGGTTTCTCCTGGGTGGGGCCAGGTGTCAAGCTTAGATCCAACAACATATATATATATATATTTATTTTTATATCCTTTCAAAATTGGGATGGGTTCATCCTAATCTACAGGTTCCGCTGGTTCCACCAACATCTCGCTCAATCTTTCTCTCTTTGTTTACATTTCTACAGACCACCCCACTCCCTCTCTTCTTCGTGTTTCTCTCCGGTCTTCATGCTCTCCGCTCTCCGCAGTTCCCCGTCGCGTCCCGGAGGTCTTCGACCTGCGCTCGGGCGAGTGGACGCCCCGCGGTGCTGCCGTGGCGCTCCCGTCGGACGTCCGGGACGCGGTGGCGGTGGCGGAGCGGAGGGAGCAGTGTTGGGGGGCGAAGTGGTGTGGGGTGAGGATTTGGGGAGGAGGTCTGGAATAGAACTCATGGTGCAAGTTGTTTGGGAAGTGGATTTGGTTGATTTGGTTGGATTGAAGTGCGCTGGGTCAGGGAGGGAGGAAGATGAGTCCTGCGCTTGGAGGCTATATTAGCAGGGCGAATTTGCTTAGGCTCAAGGCTCAAGGCTTAAGAGAGGTCAGAAGATTCATAGAACACTCCTCCCACGGCCATGGAGGGGACATTTTCTTCTGGAAGACTTGGGAATGATACAGACTCTTACTGCGTCCCACGAAGAAGCACTAGGACTCGGACCGCTTGCACCACTGCCCAACGGCCAGGAACCATGTTCCACTGGTCCTCCCAACCCGCCCGCCGCTCTGCACAAGGCCGAGGACCGAGAACAGCACGTCGCAGAGGCCGACGGAGAACGAGCGGGCGGGGCGTGGGTGGGGAAGGGCGCAACTCCAGGCGCTTTTGGTGCGAAGATCCCAAGAAATGAGACGGATGTATAAAAAATAGTGCGTGTATAAGTATAAGTGCACATCATTCGTGACCCATTGGTGAAAAAAACGCACACCTTGAACTTGGGTGCTTCCATGGGGGCGCTTCAAGCCTTCCCACCACTTTCTTTCACCCCCCACACCCTGGCCTTTGACCGCCTTGGCCGCGCGCCGCGCGCGCCGCGCGCGCCGCACGCGCCGCGCACGTGCCGGTCGAACCACCGGACCACGTGGATCGAGGTCTACTTGCGCAGCCACTTCGCGGCAGTCTTCGTGCCGTCGCGACGGAGCGCCCTGGTCCTGGGAGGCTCCAGGTACTTCACAGGCGAACGCGGCGGGGAGGGAGCGGAAAAGGAGGGAAGCGTTGCAGGAGCCTGGTTGAGAAAGTCCGAATTTGGTTGAGACGGGTTTGTCAGGCTTGTTGAATGGCAAGCGCATCAATCTTGGCAAATTTGAGTGAGTCTCACTGAGAACTTCCTCGCCACATAGTCACTTGCGTTGGCGTCTCGCTTCCCAAGTGGAGTGCCGCCCTACGACCGCCCTGTCCGTCCGTCCGATTCCGTGCCGTGGTGTCTGTCCGAGCGCGCGGTCCGAGCGGTGGCAGGTGAATACTTCAACGATCTGCTCGAGTTGCAGCTCCCTTCGAGCACGTCGTCGCGAGCGAGGCGCGGCCAGGGTCGCTCGTGACTGAGTCGACCGAGCGGTCGGGCTGCGGCTGGGCCGACTGACTGAGGTAGATGATATGAGGTGATCAGCTCTGCACTTCTTCAGCCTAGCAGTAACAAGCCGTAACCCAACTTGGAATTGTTTGGCATTCCATTGTGGATGCGTTGGTGGAGGTGTAGGTGTGATAATGTTCATCATCATCCGCTGAAACTGGGGTTACGTTTCTGACGCAACGACTCACAGCAAAACAACAGGCGAAACAACTGCGTGGGCGGCTAGGGAGTCTAGTCTGGTTGAAAGGAGGCCTACAATGCCAGTTTGAGCAGTAAACACCAACCTGGAAAGCACACAACTGTTGCTTCGCGGTCATATTTACCAATTATCAACAAGATTGATGCATCCATTTATCTAATAGATGTTATCCATTTATGCACACCCATCCATTTAACGCTTATTTGAGCCACGTTCTTCACCCCCAGCTGCCCAAACCCAGGGAGAATCGACCTTCGTCCTTCGGCGCAGTCGGTCGGCCCAGGAGGTGCGGCTCTTCGGTGCTGGGGCGCGGCCGCCAGGAGACCCGGGGTGTCGATGGACGCAGAGAAGCGGTGTGGGGAGGGAGGACAGAGGAGGACAGGCGGTGGTTTTGGGTGTTAAGAAAGAACCATGTATTTCAATGGGCTCCTGAGAGAACCTTCCTATAGGGAGGACATCGGGATAAATATCTTGGAACATAGAGATCCGCAAATGATTGGATAGAACATGAATGAACATGATAGAAATCACCGGTTTCAACGAATGTGAACTTGGCCCTTTCCTTTCGGCTACTTTTGGAGCCGCATGCGAAACTCATGAGACTCCTTGCCAGACCTTGAGTCAGGAGAGCCAGCATCCTTTGTGTGGCCCATTCCAGGCCTGGAGTGCGTCGCCGTTGATGGTTGGCGCCACTGGTGGTTCCACCTAGCAGAGGTCTTAGGGAGTTGGAGTTGATCCATGTGACCTGGGTGGTAACCTAGCATTGAAATGCATGATTAGGCATTGATGATGCCTTATAGATACCTGGCACTCCTTGATACCCTTTGGCTCTTCGAACCTGTCGACATGTTAGTTTGAAGCTTGGCCAAAGTTCAACACTTTTAAGGCAGAACAGGGTAGAAGTGACCTTTTGCTTCGATGTCCTTATTTTCTTCGGTGGTGGTGGATTGATTGTCCTGAAGAGGTCTTGGTGTATTTTTCGTGTTCTGTATTGTCTTGTCCTTCACTGTGCCATGTGGCATCTGGACAAAGTGCCAAGCCAGCTGTTTGCGACCGCCCGAACAAAAAAAAAGAGGAGCCATACCCTTGGACCATCTTGCAGTCACACCTACCAAAATAAACTGTGCACAGCATCACCACCACCCCCCAAAAGAAGGGTTGTTATCATGGGCACTGAATTCAAATGTCAATCGATACGCCCTGGAAGATTCACATGGAACCTGCCAAAAAACCACGGGGCTTTTTGCGAGGAAGATCGTCTTCCAGTCTGCTCCCGTCCATGCCAAGCCCGGTTCCATGTTCGGCCGTGTAGAACGGTGTGTTCCATGATTCGTTGGGCACTGCCCAACCTTCCGCTCTGCCCAACCTTTCACCCACTGTACGCGTACCGAACCGTTCGTTCCGCGCGCGCACCGCGCAGGCGCCGAACGGACTGCCTCGCCATCTCCAAGTGGCCGACGGCCGCGAAGCCTCGCTGACACGGGGCTTCGTGGGGCGTCTGCGGGGGATGCTGCAGGAGGGCATCATCAGCCAGGACGATGGGAAGACCAGCGCGGGGGCGAAGCGAAATCGCGCGTCGCGCGAGATGAGGATGAGGATGAGGATGATGAGAGTCACATAGAGTCACATAGAGTCACTGGTGGTTGAAGGAAGGTGCAGAAGGGTGGGATCTCACATGATCTCACATGTTGTTGGAGAATAGGGGCAGGGGGGCAGCGTTTTTAGGTTAGTTCCTTGTAATCTTTGTATTGTCCCAGCTGCCGATGACAGACTATTTTATATTTTTCCTGGATCCCAAGTTCAGGGCATATAAGCATGAAGAGCTGGGCACTTCTGTCATGCGCAACAGGCTGTAATACACATAAACCCTTGAATAGGTTTTGGCTGCAGTGTCGCTAGGCTAAGCTGGACAACCATGGCTGGTCTGGTTTACAAACGGTCCATGTCAGAGAGGTCTGCGAACTTGCAGTGAAGAGCGTTCGGCCTTTTCATTGCTGTTCTGTTGGCCAGCATGGACGACGGTTGCACTGCCAAACCAGTGCAGTAGGGGTGGCTGTCCAATCACCTGACCCAGTGGAGTTAAAACCATGCGCTACTTAGCGATGGTCGATTTAGATTCATTTAGATTCTGGTTCAGGCATTCTCGCAAGGTATGTCTAAAGGGGTGCAAATTTCACTGCTCAAATTCTTCAAGTATAGGTACATTCTTCAAGTATAGTTACATTCTTACATAAATGCTCTTCTTGCAACTTGCACATTTCAGCCGGTACTTCATAGGTTCATGGGTCGCAAATTCTTTTATATACTTGACTCAGTACTTGACTCAAGGGCAAATCAGGCACCTCAAAGGCACTTCAAGGCATCACAGGAAGCAATCAGAGGCATTATTCTGGATCACCTTAGAAATAACAATATTAAATAATGCATTTCAAGAAGTCTGTCGATAAACTCCCTGGCAAGCCGACATTTGCAGAGCGCGTGGCGGATTGAACGTGACTCAATTTGACCATGCCGCAGATCTTGTGTACAATATTGTGATTGGATGGTGGGGAAATTGCTCGTCAAGCTGCAACCCCCGACTCTTTAGAGAAGCCTGTGATGTCCATGTTTGCGGCCCTGCTCTATTCACTGCGTGGTGAAGCGTGGATGTGGTCCTCGACTCGACTTCTCCCTATCCTATCAGCCCTCAAGGACAGCTTTGCACTTTTTTCTCGTGACAGTTGCATGCATTCTGGCACATGCCACTACCTACGCAGCGCTAGGACAAGATCGGCGACTTCGACGTGTTCGAATTCGATGGGGGTTGATCCAACCTACCAGCTAAGTAATCTCACCACCTGGGAGCCTGTTCGTCTCGACTCCCAGGTGCTCAGATCACTCAGCTTATCATAGCCTGCTGACCCTGACCCAGGCCCAGATGGCTTGCACTGATATTCATAGCGCAAGTAAACCTTTTCGCTTTTGCCAGTTGGTCGCTGTCAGCCGGACTGTTTGACTGTTTGTTGTCACAAGGCCCCAAGGCTCTTGGTTTGCACCTGGTCGGACGTGCGCATGTCAGGAGTTCAGGTGCTTCTGTCATTGACAAGGTTGGTGGAGAAGTTGGTGGACCGTTGAGTGTCATTTGCCTGGCGGACTTTGGTGCGCGTATATTGGCCGGAATGATATACAGGTTCGTTTAATGCGCAGCGGAGTGGCATGCTTCTCATGGCAAAATGCCGGGAGTGAAACCCCACGCTCATGAATGAAGGTTCAAGGTACATGGCATGAATTGAAATGATGTGCTTGGACAATGCGGAATTGGCCAACACTTTTGTGGGACATAAGAACTTCTGGCCTCTTAACAGATAACATACTTGGATCCAGAAGCATCTTAACCGCTTTTGATTAGGCCCATCAGGCAATGTTCAAGGAGTCGTGACCATATGGCCATGCCCGAATTAGGTGTGACATTAGACCTGGAACGCTCCAGTCCCCTCGCAGGAGCAGTTCAATCTGATGCGTTCGCCTGGGTGACAGCTGAGTCTCACCAAGTGAAAAACAACATGTGGCTGTGAGGAACTTGGGAACTTCGGCGCATCATCTGGGACCACCATTGCGCAAATGCTGTTGGGTTCGCGAAGGTGTTTTCGAAAGGCAGGTGGCTGACACTGTACGGCACGCGGTTTTTTCATGTGGCAGTAGGTAACATCGTGTAGGAAACTGTTGTGAGCATTCCCAGATGCACTTGACACCTTGACATGGTGAACCGATCGAAGCTGCTTTTACTTAAGCGCCCAAGAAAAAGGGAGCGATCATTCGAGAGCCGCCATTTCGTTTGGAGCCGACCTTTCGTTTTGGTTTCGCTGTGGAGAGGAGTTTTTTGCAGAGCGGTTGTTTGCACACCTGGTCCATCAGACCAGGTTATGAGCCCAAAGGTTCATGCTGGAGCATAGGCGACGACAAGCCAGCCGGCAAGAACTCGAACAGGGCCAAAAGGAGATCCAGGCAGCAGATGCCAGGATGAAGCGGGAAGCCAAAAAGAGAGGCGAACTTCCGATCGAAGATGCTAAGGTTGGAAGGGGGGGAAAAGGAAGCTCAGCGCCTGAAGACAAGGGGTATGATGTTGGCTCCACCCGATCGCCTACGGTCACCCTGCCATCCACCGAGGAAAGCGCCTCGGCTTCTAAGGCACCAGCAGTCTCAACTCCGAAGCCCATTGAGGATGAATCAGGTTTGCCAAAGCCGCCTGAAGAAGCGCATGCCAGGACACCACAGGTTCTGGGACCGAAGGGTCATGAGAAAAGGGAGTCGCATGGTGTTGAAGTGATAGATGAGAACCAAGGTCATGAGATGATTGAAGCAGGTCCCCATCATAGGACACCGGAATCACATGCTGTGACCATGGCTCCACTCTTCACGCCTGAGCAGTTGGAGTCGTTGCACCAAGTACAAGCCCAAGCTCCATGGCTTTATGCTAGGTTGGAAACGCCACAAGCACCAGCATTGCAGCGGCCTTCGTTTCTTCCCTCCACTGACCGTGATTGGAGGGTGAGAAAGGAAGAAATGGACAGTAGAAGTTCTCAAGAGTTGATAGCCCATGTCCAAACTGCCGAAGCTGCAGAGAAAGAAGATCTTCTTCGCCACCTTCGACAGCTCACCTATGAGAATGGTTTGCTGAGGGATGAAGCCCAAAGAAGAATTCGAGAAGAAGTTGTGAAGCCACCAGCAGGTCTCCATGAACGACATGTTCAAACCCTGTTGGAAGAAAACCTTCGATTGCAGCAGGAGCTTCGTCGAATGTCCTCGATCCTGCCACCAGCCAAGGAAGACGACCCGATCTTTGCCACCCCGAATGGAAGCTCTGGTCGTGAAGAAGGAACTGGAGGACGGGGGAGAAAGACCCAACAAAGGGTTGAAGAGAATGATGGACGAAGGTCCAGTGAAGTTGATGAGTCAAAAGGTCAAGAAAGCACCGCACGCAAAGAGACAGAAGAAGAGCCAGTAAAGAACAGTGGCACTGGAAAGGGCAGAGGATCAAAGAAGAAAGAAGTGGGAAGTGAAGAAGACAGTGTGCATCACCACACCTTGCAGGTGATCTTGAAGGTTGTAGAAGGTATGCAGAAAATGCAGGATCGAATGTCAAAAGGATCCTCGACGGACTTGGAGAACGAGCCCGAGATGGTGAAGCACAATGTTGAGCTCCCCAAACTACAGGAATGGAATTGTGAGTCGGCGCCAATTGACTTCGCTGACTGGCTTCTGCTCCTGGCACCACTGATGGCTGACCTGACCTCAACGTCAGAAGAGTGGTGGAATTTGACCTTGGAGGAATCTCGCCAGTGGTATCAGCGCCACCTCACCAAGTCACCCTTGGACCGGTTGACCCACCAGATATCGCCAAGTGCCAAGTTGACAACTCGCAAGTGGGCACGATTGGAGAAGCGAACTACAGCCCTACTCCTGTCTGCCATTCCAGAATCCCTTCGTGAAGAAGTTGTGTCGAGCAAAAGTTTGTCAACTTTTGGAATCCTGGTCAAAGGCATGATTGCCTACCAGCCTGGAGGCCTTTCTGAACGTCAGGCTATCTTAGCCGCCCTGGAGAATCCAATGGAGGCCACGTCAATTGGCCAAGCAGTCATGACACTCCGGAAGTGGCTGCGATGGCGGAGGCGGGCGGAGGAAGTGGGAGTTTCGATTCCCGACCCCACGATTTTGGCTCGTGGACTCAGCAAGCTGACAAAGAAGTTGGTGGTTGTTCACCCTGAGCTCAACTTCAGGCTGCAGCTTGTCCGCAGTTCGTTGATGGTTGATGCTGTCCCAAGCCATGATGCCATTTCGAAGTATAGTGAGCATCTTCTTGCTGAGCTAGAACAAATGGGGCAGCAATCCCGAAAGAAGGAGAACACCGTCGACTTGCCGAAGGTCAAGAAGTTTGAAGAACAAGGAAAAGAAACAAAAGAAAAGAAGGAGGCCAGGGACGGTGATGACAAAGAGAAAGGTAAGTGTCGGTTCTTTTTGACGGACCAAGGATGTCGAAGGGGGAAACACTGTGGGTTCTCTCACGACCAAAAGGACGACAAGAGACGCTGCTGGGTGTGTGGTTCACCAGATCACTTTGCACCGGCCTGTACAAGACCAAAAGATTCCAAAGAAAGCCCACCGAAGCCAAAGATCGCCAAGGCGGAAAAAGAAAAAGGTGGGAAGCAGAAAGGGGAAGAAGAAGGAAGTGATGATGTTCAACCGGCCATCAAAGAGCTTCTCAAGGAAGCCAATGACATGTTGCGAGGGATGAACACCACTCCATCCCCATCCTCTGCAAGCACCTCACCATCCGCAAAAGGTGGGGACTCTCCTGAAAGAAATGAAGTGGTGGAGAAGCTCCAACAGCAGCTCAATGCCCTCCGACAGAAGGCATTTCAGTTATGCCGGCTCAAAAAGGGGGAAAGACAGGGCTTGCTGGACTCAGGGGCGACGCACCCTCTCCGCCCAAGCAAGAAAGGTGAAGACAAGTCCACCTACCGTGTGGTTCAGGTCTCGCTTGCCGATGGACAAGTTGTTGGCATGCCAATCTCCCCAGGAGGTTCCATGGTGTCAGATGATGATGACATTGAGCCAATAGTTCCGATGGGATTGCTCACCGAGGCCCTTGGATGCACGGTCTCCTGGTCAAAAGATCAGCTTCAGGTCCACCACCCTCGACGGGGAAGACTTCCAGTTGACCAGAAGGATGGATGTCCTCAGCTGCCTCGTGGTGTGGCCCTTGGTTTGATTGAGGAGATTGAGCAAGTGAAGAAAGGAATCAAGTTCAAGGAAGATGACAGTTTCCACGATGAAGTACAATGGATGAAGCATTTTGTGGAAGCCCATCCGGTGTTTCGCCGGCTTCCTCAAGAAATCAAGAATTCGCTGGTCGTGAAACCAGGTGAATGGTCCTCCCTGCCGGCCAATCGTCGGAGGAGGAAAGCGATGAAGAGAGATAGGTTTATCTGCCACTTGTACGCCGGGGAGGAGGAAGGCTTCACTCTCCAAAGGGCATGGAAGCAAGTTGGTGGAGATGAAAAGGAGTTGCTCGAAGTTGACAAGAAGAGGGGTTCCGGTCACGACATGATCCTGAACACTGGTCCCTATGCAGGTCTACTTCGAGCTGTGTGGGAAGGAAAGCTGCTCGGCCTAGTTGGAGGCCCAAATTGCAGGACAAGAAGCGTCCTTCGACATCGACAAGTTGAATGGACGGACGCAAGACCTCTTCGAAGATGGGGGGGTGAAGAGTTTGGCATTGTGGACGCAAGTCCAGAAGAAAAAGAAAAGTTGAAGGAAGATGACCAGCTGCTGTGGAGGATGATTTTCTTAGCTGCCTTGGACACGTATCTGAGACGTGCCAGAGGACTCGATGGACAGCTTGGATTTGCCCTTGAACAGCCAGCGTCACCGAAAGACTATGAGGCAGCAGTGGTCTCATTTTGGGACACCCTTGAGTGGCATGATCTTCGAAACGAGTTCGGCTGGATGGAGACGACCTTCAGTCAAAAGCCGCTTGGAGGGGCTGCAGTGAAGCCCACTACGGTTGGTGGGAACCTTGAGCTCGCTCCTGAGGAATTTTCCATCAATGGCCAGATCCATCACCACATCCGTGGGTCATGGGACCTAGCCAGATGGCCTCCGGGGATGATGTCGATGATTGCTGAGGCTTTGATGACTCAGGTTTTGCGAAGGCCAGTCAAGCTCCGTGCACTCTCCTGGGAAGAGCACCCGCTGCTGGGCCACACACCAAGTAGAAGAGACTGCCGTGTATGCCAAGAAACACGACAGCAGTGCTCTCCACACAGAAAGGTGGAACACAAGTTGGCAGGGGTCCTGTCATTAGACACGGCCGGACCACTGAAGCCAGCGTATGACCTAGGAGGTCTTCAGTCCCGCTACTTCTTGGTTGGGACGCTCACATGGGCACTTCCACTGGGCTTTGATGTTGACGTCCAGGGGGAGGAAGTTCAGGAAGGTGAAGATGAAGAGTTGTGGCCCTTGATTGAGGCCAATGAAGAAGAAGAAGCTGATCAAAGGGATGATCAAGCACCAAAGGATGACCAGGTGCCGCCAAAGGACGATAAGGTGCCACTTGGTGAACGTCGAGGAGGATTGTCGGACGCTGAAGAAGAAGCGGGCCGAGGAGTCTTCGATGACGATGAAAGTGAAGAAGATGAAAGGGCCATTGAGGCCGAAGGTGAAGAAGATGAAAGGGCCATTGAGGCCGAAGGAGAAGAAGATGAAGGGGCCATTGAGGCCGAAGGAAGAGAAGTTGATGCTGGGCCGCCAAAAGACTTCAAGATCGAGATCTTCAGGTTGGCATTGCCTATGCACTCAAAGAAGTCCAAGGAAGTCACAAGGACGACAATGGACATGCTGTTGAGGTTGAGGATGGACGGATACTCCGTCGCTCAGATACACTCTGATCAAGGCCATGAATATGCAGGCCATTTTCAGGACTGGACAAGGCGGCGGGGAATCATCCTCACCAAAACCGCCGAGGACGAACCCCAGTCCAACGGACGTGCAGAGGCCGCAGTGAAAGCACTGAAAACGATGGTTCGAAAGGCTTTACATCAGGCCAAAGAAACTTCGAAGTGGTGGCCATGGGCCCTAAGACACTGCAACGAGGTTCTCAGAGCAAAAAGGCTCCACCAGTCTCCTGACTTCCCGCCCTTTTTGACGGAGGTCATGGTCCGGAGGAGAAGATGGAAGCGGGATGACCTGGCCACAACAAGTGAACGGGTGAGGTATCTCTGTCCGTCCCCTGAGAACCACGGACACTGGATCGTGAGGGACGATGAAAGACCCAGGCTCACGAGATGCTATATGAGGAGGTTGGAAGACCCACCGACAGAGAGGCATTGGATCGCCCTGGAGAAGGAAATTTTGGACGGTCTGAGCCTTCGAAGGAGGATTCGCAAAACTGCCGTCAAAAGACTTCAAAAGGAAGTTGAGGATGAAGAAACAAAAGAAGAAAAGTTCAGGACCCGTGCAAAAAGGGTACTGGAAGAAGAAGCGCTGATGGCACTTGAAGACCCGCCGGACTTGGCCATTCTGACGTCCCAAGTCGTTGCTCGGATCAAGCGGTCTGTGGCGGTGGAAAGTCCAGAAGAAGAAGAAGTTCTCCAAACCCGAATCGTGTCCCCGAAAGAAGTGGCAGCAGGCTGGGTGATGTGGGAGGCTCCATCACAAGATGAGATTACGTCTCTCCTCACCGACAAGCTAGCCTTGAAGCCGGTCACCAAGGGGGAGGTCAAAAGAATGGTGGAAGATGCCGAGTCAAAAGGGGTGAAAGTTGAGTTTATCCCGTCCAAGCTTGTGTTCACCCGCAAGCCTGGAAAGAAGGGAGGAAAGAAGAAAGTCCGCTGGGTCGTTTGCGGAAACTTCGAAAGCAGAGATCCGAATGAAGAGAACTTCTCTGCTGGAGCCGACTCAGCTGCCCTTCGAATTATGGTCTGGGTTGCAGTGGTCTACCAGTGGGAGGGCTGTGTGGTGGACGTCAAAACAGTTTTTTTGAATGCCAAAATGTCCCAAAAAGAAGATCAACAGCTGCTTTTGGTATGCCCACCTGCCTTTTTCGTGGAGCGTGGATTGCTGGCCAAGGACACATACTATGTCCCACTCAAGGCGGTCTATGGGTTCCGCCGCTCGCCACGCCTGTGGGGTGAGCACCGTGATGAAGTACTCCAAAAGATGGAGATCGAAGTTGAAGGAGAAGAAAAGCCCTTGTGCCTAGAGGCCTTGGATTCGGAGCCAAACTTGTGGAGGATTGTCGAACTCCATCATGACGAAGATGCACCAAAGCTCCGAGGGCTTTTGATGACTTATGTCGATGACATCATGATCACTGCCGAACGAAAAGTGATGTTGGCAGTCAAGGATCAGTTGCAAGCTCAGTGGACGACATCAAGTCCTGAGTATATAGCCGAAAAGCCTTTGAAGTTTTTGGGCATGGAGATCATCAAGCAGGTGAATCCGGAGACTGGCAGAGATCGATGGCTCATTTCTCAACAGTCTTACACGACAGACCTCCTTGAGCCAGAAGTGCACCAGCTCCGAGAGAAGAAGATCCCGATCTCAAAAGATCAATCGGCCATGGTGGATGATCCAAGCCCACCAACAGCGGCAGACGTCAAAGCTGCCCAAAAGACTGTAGGAGAACTCCTATGGATGGTGACGAGAACACGCCCTGACATCATGTACGGCGTCTCAAGGATGGGTTCAGCCGTCCTCAAAGGACCACAAGCAGTTCTCGAAGCCTCCAAACAGATGAAAGGCTACCTTTGGAAGACGAAAGAAGAAGGCTAGATTTTTGAAGAGGAGGCCAACACTGAGCCAGTGATTCATGTGTACACTGACGCCTCCTACTCTCCAACCTCAGAGGAGAGCCATGGATGCCTGGTGGTCCTCCTGGGAAACAGCCCAATCCTGTGGCGATCTGGAAGGCAGTCGACGATTACTTTGTCAACTGCTGAAGCCGAGTTGAACGAAGTGATTGAAGGTATGGTTGCAGGAGAGTCCATAGGGGTGATTCTGGATGAGCTGTTCAAGCCCGTCGTTCGCATGGCTTGGACAGATAGCCAATCAGGAATGACGATCCTGACAGCCGAGGGCGGCAGCTGGCGGACGAGACACCTCCGCATGCGGTCTTCCTATGCGAGGCAAGTCATCCTCGACGGACTGTGGACCTTGCACCACGTGCCTTGGGGACGAAGGCACTTGCAGCTCCTCGAGTCGAAACACTCAAGAAGCAGCTCAACATGGGGCTACCTCTCGGAAACACCGAGATGAAGAATGAAGAAAGAAAAGGTGAAAGTGAATGGAATGAAGAAGAAAAAGTGAAGAAGGAAGAAAAGGAAGTGAAGGGCCAAAATGAAGAAAAGGCCAATGTGATCATTAAGTTGATCACGATCGCCGCCACACTGGCAAGCGCAAAGGCGCAGGGGGAGCATGAAGATGATGAAGAAGAGATCCTGGGATGATCCTCATTCCCCTGGCTCTGATGGTGCTTCTCTTAGTTTGGTGCCTGAAGGACGGAGTAGCACGCAGCCGAGACCAATCACCAAGTGACCAAGAGTCGGCAGTGCGAAGTCCTCCCAGGACACCACCTCGACGAGAAGCCAGACTGCGAGCCATAAGAAAGAAAGAAAGTGAAGATGATGAAGAAGAAGTGTCTCGGCCATCTCATTTGCCGAGCCCAATGAGATCACCAGGATCTGCACCACCTCACACTCCAACTCAGCCTTCAGGTCCCACTCACCTTCTTCACACGCCAACTCAGTCTCAGAGTTCCGCTCACCTTCCTTACACTCCAACCCAGCTTCCAGTGACTCAAGTCACAATGTGGGGATTTCCTTCTCCCAATGGTCGATGGCTCCAACCAGAAAAGTCACCGTCATCTCCGACGGGGTGCCGTTTGGACAGCCTTAGCGAGATCAGAAGGAAGAAGAAGAAAGAGGAAGCAGAAAAGAAGCGAAGAGAAGAAGAGGAGGAGCGAAAGAACGAAGAAGAGGAATCAGCTGGGGCTGCATCATCTGCTGCGATGGCATCAGCAGACGCCCAGTCACGATTCCAACAGAGAGGAGAAAGCAGTGCACACGCGAAAGCACAAGTGAGGCCTCCACCAATGCAGCAAGGTGAAGGCCGGGATCCAAAGATCTTGACGACCAAGTTCGGAAGAGTACATCACCGAACTATGATGTGCCCTTACTTGACCAATCCTCGGACAGGGACGGTCAAGGAAAGTCGCTGGTGCGAAGAGTGCACCAGCATGATGGGAACGATGACATCTGTCACCCTGTGGACAACCAGTTGGGGTGGCATTGCACACTCGAACAGGGTGTGTCGGTCGCTTCGGGGTGAGGTTCTCCGATACACGCCCTGCTCGGCCTGTTCTGGCCAATGAAAACGAAGCAGCTTGAGCTGGAAGACCAAACGCGGTCGAATTTTGATGAAAATGAAGAGGTTGATGACCATGGCAGCCTAGCGTCACCATGGAGGGGGAGTGTTGTGAGCATTCCCAGATGCACTTGACACCTTGACATGGTGAACCGATCGAAGCTGCTTTTACTTAAGCGCCCAAGAAAAAGGGAGCGATCATTCGAGCGCCGCCATTTCGTTTGGAGCCGACCTTTCGTTTTGGTTTCGCTGTGGAGAGGAGTTTTTTGCAGAGCGGTTGTTTGCACACCTGGTCCATCAGACCAGAAACAAACACCACGACAAGAGTTCCAGTCCAGAGGCCTTCCCACAAAGTCCAGGACGCCTGGCATGGGACGCCGGACATGTTTGGGGTGAAAATTGGCCCGTCAGGGCTCCGTTCCAACATGGTCAAAGGGTCAGTCAGTTAGTAGCCAGTCGTTCCACCAAATCACGATACCGGGACTGGTCCCGGTTGTGGCACCGCTCTCACCCTCCATGTTGTCAAGGTTTCTTTGGGTTCTCGAACGGATTTTTCGACGATGCAACGATGTCCTTTCAGAAGTCAAGGCGTTTTCGTTTGCACGAGGGTCGAGTCGTTGGATTTTTGCCGAAGTTGTGGGGCTCAACGGTGTGAAGCGACATCTCCGTCTCGGGACCAACTCTGCCTGTAACGAACCAGGCGCCGGATGTGGCTGGTTTGGCTGGTCGTTGGGGGAGGATGATGGACGCGGATAGAGGTAGCTTTTGGCATTCGGAAGATGGGAAAGCATTGGAAAGTTCACCACCGTTCAAGCCCGTGCTCCAGTGCACAGTCGAGGCAGCAGAAGGGCCAAGGGACATGATTCCACTATGAGTTACCCTCCCCCTGTCCACTCCAGTCCTGAATGCCAACAGAACAATTCCAAACACCTCAAGTACCTCAGAAGGTATTTGGACCCTCCTGGCACCCACCCCCAAACACCTAAAAATTACTCGTATCAGAGCCTTTTAGAGGAGATCCCCCCTAAGTCCGACGCCCACCGCTGTGTGCCAGGTCACCCCAGCGATGGCCGATAAGAACCAGAAACTCACTCAGGCAGCTGCAGTGCGGTGAGAAAGCGCGCTGCGAAAAGGGCGGTTGGGGTATTTATGGGCGCCAGCCTGGCAGCCTTAAGAGGATCCGTTGGATAAAGAAGCCTTCAAAAGGGCTTTGCAAGCACTTTGCCTTCTTGGCTTTATGACGGAAGAAGCCCTAGGCCTTTATGACGGAAGAAGGTGCCGGTTCGATCCATTGGCTTCATGTATGTGTTTGGTTTTGGTGATTGAGCCGAACAGCTCCGAAAAGGACCTAGAGCCTATAGACTCTAGACCTATTTGGTGCGTATACGTATATATATATATATCATATAGCCTGGAAGTCAAAGACTATACAAAGATTGGTCAGTGATCCGAAGTTCGGAAGGTCCTTTACTTCAGCTGGTCATAGTCGAACTGGACTTATAGGGTATATCTAATCTATATATCCTTGGATGATCCGGACCCCACCGGCACGAACCTCCGAACCTCCCGTCCCTTATTCTTGCCGTCCTCGGGAAGGAAGCTGCCCTGCTCCGCTCTGCTTGGCTCCAGGCCGAGTTGTTGGAGTTGTTGAGCCCACCGCCCTTCAACCAGAAGTCCACCAGCTCAGTCCGCGCGGAAACCGCGCGAGTGTCCACACGTTGCAGCGGACCTGTCGCGGTGCAGGGGGTGTTGGTGGTTGCCTTTTTGAGAAGGACCATGACATGTCATGGATGAGGCCGTATATGTTCCACTCTTGCATCATGGACAGAATGTACGGAGGTGTGCGACCCAGGACCCCAAGGACCTCCAAGATCCTCCAAGCCTCCAAGGACCTCCCAAAAGGTCACATCCCAAAAGGTCCAAAGACCTCACCTCGCCGAGGAAGTGCGTACCACCGGACGCGGTGATCTTGACCTCCCCGGAGGAGCGTTGGTGGAGGTGCGGTCTCGTCCAGTCGTCGCGTCGCGTCACGTGTCGGTCTCATCCAGTTGTGGTGCAGCTGTGTTGGGCCCGACTGGAACCACTGCAGGTGCTTTCAGACGAGATGGCCTGGGCCCCCCAGGTTTGGTGGTTGATATGGACCCCGATATAACAGACATCTTTGGGTCGGTTTGTGCCATCTATTATTGTTCTTGTAAGGTTTTACAAACAGTCCTTCCTGTGCGGCATAACTGTAAGCCACCTGGATCGGGGATATTTATGGCCCGGCGGTACAAATGTTGGAAGTGCAAGTCACATGAGATTCCAGGCCACCATGTTGCCAATTCTCTAAACCAAATCATCAGTCCAGAGAGCTTCCCCATGTTCAAGGGTGTGTTCAACCTCGTGGTGAACTCCGCAGAGTTGTTTGGAGTTCTTCCGTGGAAACAGGCGAAATCGTCTAAGGATTGATCATTTTGGGAATCGGGCTGGCAACCGGTTAGACTCTTGACGTGTGTGGGACGCACTCTGTATCCTCCTCCTCCTCGACCGCGTCCGCCGCGGCGCGCCGGCGCGGACAGACGCGCCCGGTGGACGCGGGTTTTCGCAGGTCTGATTCACCTCGATTGCCCGGCGACCAGTTCCCAGACGTCCCACCTCCCAAGCCCTGCGCTCGGTGGATGCGTCGGCGTATGCGTCGGTCGGGCGGAAGTGGAGTCGAAGGATGACTTTTTTGGGGTCTCTTAAATGGAAGTGGATGATGTGGATGACATGTAAGATGAGGTTCCGGCAAACTTAAACCAAGGGACTTCCAACTTGGGTCAATGATGGTCAATGCATCTTCAGTTACTTCTACTTCTGCGTGCCTTGCAGCATCTTGCACCCCACACCAGCTCACCTTTCGTGCCCTAAGGCTAAGGCCAGCACCCCGTGAGACCGCCCCGTCCCGTGCCGGTCCCGTCTCAGGGTGGATCCAACCATGTCTGCGACCACAGGCTCCAAGGCCGCTCTCTACCGTACCGGTCGCCATGGATCGGTCGTGGTGAAACGACCTCTCATGGGATCGTCTCGTAGCTCTGCAGTTACTATAGAGGCCTCGAGGCCTAGGAGTTTTGAGGTTCCATACTTTACCATTCTTTTGTATGTATATGTTATATATGTTACTGGGTGTACTATTAACATGTTTACATGTGTATATATAATATATAGTTACTATTTTAATGGACATGCTCACCCCAAGAAATCCCCTCACGCCCGAGGGTTGTCCCTATGTATACGATCATCCGCAGCTTTTACTGCGTGTCTGTTCTGGGTGGCCGGGCATCCAGGTGACGGTCATGGCGCCAAAAGAACTGGAGTAAAAGCCATCGCATTCTGATGCCTACGATGCCTACGATTCACGCACGGAGCGCTTCGGTCGCCAGGGGCATGGCCTGCGACAAGGGCCCATCCTCTTCCAGACCACCGCGCAGACTGGCTGTGGGACTGCAGCTCATTTCAAGATGGAGGACTGCCCTCCATTTCACACATGACTGCTCTCTTTCTTTTTCGCAAGTGCTTTGGGTATCTTGAAAGGTTCCCAGGGTAGTGCTAGAAATTCTTCCATCAACAGCTGCACTGCTCGCAGCTCGCACTTGGCACATCTTGGCACTCGGTGCGGCGTGGATCAGTGCATCATCGGAGTCTTTCTTTCGTCAGGAAGGCGTGCCACCGGTGATCTCTGGCTTCAGTCCGGAGCCCCCAACAGACACCGCGCGCGCGGGTTCGGCGACAGCCTGGGCGGCACAGAGACTTCAAGCCTTTTCACCTTCAGAGGACCGTGGGTGGGATCGGAAGGCTCTCGAAAACGGTGCGTTGGCGCTGAGGTGGACACTTCCCAGGGAAGCAGGGCGCCAATGTCATTGGCGCCACCTTTGACAAGTGCCTCGGGCGGCCCAGGGGGGCGGTACACCACCAACCGGACGGCCATGTGGGGCATGTGGGGCATGCGTGCCCCTCCGTGGCCCAAAGGATCGATCAAACATAGCCACACGTCCAACCGTCACGTGGCCACCGGGGTGCGGAGTTCCATGCAGGAAGGAGTGGAGTTGGGGGGTGCCCTGTACCACACATCCACGGCCCCTGGATGGGACATACCACACCACCCAGGCCCTCCATGTGACTCCTGGGTTTGTTTCTTCATTTTGCTTGGCGTGCTTTTGGCTCCCAAGAAGTGAATGCTGCCAGCATCCGCCACCATGCGCCCCATGCTGCCAGCACCCGGTACGCTATCCGCTATGGGGTGGTTTTTCAAGGTCTTTTCTCTGACTGACTGGTCTTGGCCAACGCGGTCAGTCGTGCACCACCTGTGCAAGCCCAGTCAATCACATCACATGACAGCCCAGTCCCTTGACCGAACCACCTTTCTTTCTCGGCCGTCGTGGGCCGTCGCCGTTGGGTTCGAAGGTCCTACACTGAATCCTTGTCTCATACCATCTCTTTGGGAAAGTGAGCAGCGCCAGAAGTAGAGACCACAGCCGGCCTGTCGACGGTTTTTTGGCATCGTTTTTGGTGAGGAGGAGTATGTTCGGGCATGTTGTTTTAGAGCCCTTTGTGTGCAGAACAGCCGAGATATACCTGGAAGACAACGACTAAATTGGTGTTTGAGTTGTTCCTCGAGATGAAAGGAGATCTTATATACCTTGACTAGCAAAAGAAGTTGTAATAGGAGATCTCATACCTTATAGATCTACTCCGTATACCTTGGATTCACTGTTTGATGGTTCCAGCACCGTACTACAGGCCAACGGGCCGAGTCTTTGAGCGAGTCGTGTGGCAGGTGGATGAAGGACCAAATAATCTGGATTAATAGGAAGACGAGTGCATTCAAACTGGGTGGAACTGCTATGGCTATGATGTCTTTGGAGACTTGGATGGAGCTTCTTTTTTTAACGCTCAGTAATTTGGTCCCTGGAGTCATTGAGTGAGCGGTCTTGAGTGGTCTTCAACCTGCCTCTCCTCGCTTCGTTTCACGACTGGAGCGTCCGGAAGACAAACCACCTCGTCGCACGACGAGATGGGCGGCATCTCGTGAATCTGGGTGTGCATGGTGGTGGTGAGTACTGAAGATTGATTTATTCACACCAGGACCTATAAGGGGAGAGCTAATGGACAGCCCATGGACACCTCTAAACCTCCAGACAAAAATGGTTTGCACTCCAGTTGACCGCAACAGATTGACCTTGTGTTTTTCTCCTTCCACTTCTTCACCCAGACTCCTGCCGCACCGGGATTTCACAGAGCCTCCCGAAACGGGAGACGTCTCTGCCCACCCTTCCCGCTCCGGGGCCACGCTCGCCTTTTCGCGGCTTAAACTGACCCCGCTGACCCCGCTGACCTTGCGCCATCGGTCCGTTTTGACCGTGCTCAGCCGGGGCTGTGGCACCACGGGTGCCTGGGGTTGGCGGAAAGAGGAGTATGGCCCAGCATGTCGGGGGCAAGGAGGGGGCAGGAACGGTGAGTGTAATGTAGACCTCTAGGATGAACGAAACATCATAGAAGACCCTCCCATTGAGATGGTAAAACTGTACAAGCTCCACACTGTCCATGGTACGAAGTTGCGTCCACTCAGCCCCCTGGCAGCGATCAATCTGAAGCCGAAGCGACCAAAAGTGGCGGTTCTTGCTGAGCTGCTGGCCGTGGGGGAGGGTCAGGGAGGAGCTGGGCCTGGGGCAGTGGGCCAGAGGCATGTGGTTTTGGAGTCGCATGGCTCACCTCACAAAGGGTTGGGCTCTGCCTGGTCAAGTATGGACAGATGAATGCCCGGCACAAGTGGAACGAGAATCACTGATTCAACTTGTTCGATATTTCTCGCTGATTCAGATCTCAGGATCTCTCAGGCATACATATGCATACCAATTCGAATGCCACTCCGTCAACGCTCGCCGTGCGGTCCCGCATATTGCCGGGTGCGCTCCGGTGCACACGTGCATGGACCACGCGCCCTTCTGGAGCTATAAGCTGCTAGACTTATACGTGGAGAGTGCTACACCAAGAGCTATTTACATGTTAGCTGCAGTAACCGTGACAGTCACCGTGGAACGACCTTTTTCTCTTTGCCTTCTGGGTGGTCCACCATTCTGGCGCCTCAGACCTCAGACGTCGGACCGTCGCCGCAGACCGTCTCAGACGCCGGGCGTTCGCGGGGCGGAGGACCGGGCGCGCGACGGTCGTCGTGGGGCGACTCAGCAGGGGGAACCGGTCAGGAGGGTGTTCGTCACTGTGCCCGTGAGTGGAGGGTGTGGTCTTCCTACTCATCCCAAGACGTAATTCACCATTGCACAGCCTCTTTTTGGAAGACATGCACAGGCACGTCAGTGGTGTTGAAATTCCATAAGCTCCAAATCATTGAAACACGTGTAACTTCCTCCTTCACACAGTCATCTAGTGTCAGCATAGTTCCTCTGAAAGAAGCGCATGGTAACCGCGGTCCTGGTTTCCGCCTTCCAGCTGTGGTTTTACAATGCTTTGCATTAAGCATATCACAGCCCATATTGCCTGCTGCTGGCATGACAGAGCACAAGACCTTTCTGGACATGGCCCGAACACCTTTCGCAACCGGGGCGGCAACGATCGGCAACGTACCATTGTGTTGGTCGTGGTTGGACCAGCAGTTTCTGGGCGCTGTGAATGGATCGAAACCTCTCTCTCAGCCAGGTGAACAACATCCAGCCTTTTCCCGTTTCAAGTCTTGACCTGAACCTGGCCATGTCAGCTGTCCAGTCAACTGCCATCCATCAGCTCCACCGAGATCCGCGCGATCCGGTCACAGTTTCATCTTCGGCGCAGGCAGCTGCGTCTCCATGGCGAGCTCCGGTTGAATGAGGAGGCCGAGGGTGGAGTTGGTGGAGTGCAACCGACTGGGAATTTGCAACGTTTGAACGGTTTTCACCCCGAAATCGGGCTTGAACTGAACTTGGCTTTTTGTGAGAATAAACGTGTAGAGACCAGTTCACCCCCCAGTGAATCTATGCAGCAAGAGATGCATTTCAAGAATATGGTGCCAGTCATTTCGATCTTCGCCGCTTTGTTCGGGGAGCGGCACAGGTTTTCCGAACTGCTCTTCCTTCGGCTTCATGGTGTTTCGCATCCAGATCGACCCAGTCTTTCTAGTCCCGACCGGCGAGGTTTTCCAATTGGCGACCCGCTCACCCGCCCGGGCACTGAGGGTTTGAGGACGTTTTCGGCGGCCAGTGAGGGGAGGGCAATGGCATGATGCAAGACGTGTAATTGTTTTGTCTCGAAGTTCTCGAAACAAAAACATACAAGATGTGTAGGCATATGCAACCACCATATAATCACTTTATAATATATTTATATTTTTTAGTAATAATGCTGGTGACGTATGACAACATTGAAGCGCAATCTGGGTTTGTTTTTTAATTGCAATTCTGAGGTCTTTTGAGATGCAATCAGGGGGGCCGGCATCTTGCGGGGGCATGTTCCACCGGACGTTGCAGGGCTAAGAAGGTGTTTCAACACCCCAAAATCCCCATGTTTGACCATGTTCGTCAGTTCGTTCACGCCGTCCCACCCGAAAGTCGCCAAGAAGCCGTTAACGTTGCATGTTCATCACATCCAAGAGGACTCAACCAGCCACTAGAGAAGGTGCAGGCTGGTTCTCCCTGCTCCGCACATCCGCACACAGGACGGTCCCATGTAGGTCCCATGCACTGCTCCACCTCAGGGGGACGTCCACGCGGGCGTCGCGCAATGAGTATGGCAACGACCCGGCGAAAGCCATGGAACACTTGCGGCATTTCATGATCTCCTCAACAGGCCGCCGGACTCGTCGTGTGTTTTTCCCGGGCGCCGTCAGTCTACCTTGAGCTGCAGCGTCTGAGGGGCGGGTGCTCTCCCACTGCCTCAAACTTCACCCCTAAAAAGAAACGTGATCCTTTTTTCTCCGGAGCTGATCCAGAAGAATCCCTCAACCACTTCGCAGGTGCCATATGGCTGGCGAAACCAAGGCCCCCCCCCCACAAAGCGCCGCTTCGTTCACCGGAAACACCCGTCGTCCCCCCCGTCGTCCCCTGGTCAATCGGCCGCACCACCGGGGCGGGGTCCCGCACCACTGGCCCGTCTCGCAGGTTCCGTGTTGCGCGCCTGGATCGAGTTCTTCGACCAGGACATGGCCGCTGGGATGTTTGGGGAAGGTCCGGTGGGGCAGCGGAGTGACTGGCGTAGTGGGGGAGCGGAGTTGGGTGCGAGGCTGATGATTGATGCTCCATACATTCTCCATACGACATATGACTGTTTGTCAATGAGTCTGAAGGCATGTATTACAGCCATCCACTGTATTCAATGGCGCGGGGAACTGAAACAGAACCATTACTTGTATAAAGTTAGACTGTAGCATGTTCCCTGGCACAGCTGTTTTGTCCTTAAACCACGTCATGTGATGCAGATTAAGGATTGGTTCATTCTTGGACTCATCCGATGCACTACGAAGGCCCAACGGCCTAGATCTACTCAATTTTTTAAATCGATCTCCGTGGGGAGTCAAAACTGTTCATGTGTCTCATGTTGGTCGAAAAGAACCCCTGCAGAAAAGTGTCCCTTCAGCAGATGAGATCGAACACATCTTGAAAAACATGTCTCAAGGATTCAGACTCTTTCTGTTTATAAGGCCTCAGTGGGCATCTCCAGCTGACCATGACCAAGGGCGTGCCACATGTCGCGGCACCGAGGATCATCGGATCAGCAAAGCTGAGTTCAGCAAAGGCTTCGTTCCACGTATGGCTCGGTTCAGCGGTGCACCTCCAGAGGTTCAGACGGTGGCTTTGGAAACGGAGTCTGAATGGTCCCCTTGGCTGAATGGTCCCTGAAGAAGCCTTTGGTCGATGGGTAGATGATGTAGATTGAAGATAATTCGTTTGGTTATGTTTGGCTTGAGGGCTTCAGTACGAACAAACCTTCGAGTTCTTATGAGTGGATTCAGGATGATCAATGATTCTGTTCGTTGCTTTGGGGGGTTGAGTATATTTCACACACCAGAGCCTTATAGAGTTTATAGCACCTTGGGGATTGCGCATGATGGGCCCAAAACGATGCAAAGTGCGGCGCGGCGCAGTCGTTCGGCGTCCCGTCTCCAGTCGCAGTCTCTTCGTTCCTCTTCGTCGCAGGTCTCCGGGAGTTGGGCTACAAGGGAGATGTCTTCAGTCTTTTCTCTGTGCTGGACGATGTGCCTTGGGCTGGAAAGCACACAACGACCGGGGGAGTCATGTAGACGGGAGTATACTTCAGACAACCATCCCATTGGGAAAGACGGGAGTAGGACCTGAAAGCACACGTCGACGGGTGTATGACTTCTGAAGGTGGCCTGTGGGGTTCGGTGGGAAGCCGAAAGGAATGTTTTTTTTGGGACGCCGGGCAAGTCACTCAAGTCTAAACGATTCAACACACCTGTTGTTTGGTATTTCAACCGTATCGCTGAGGTCAAGGAGGTTCTCCCTGTTGGGAGTGAACACGAGTGAAGCCGCACGGTTTTTTTCTGGACCACCCAGCCTAGCCGACTGTAGCCCCCGGCCCCGAAGATGTGTTTGATCATGTCTGATCAGAAGTCCTCAGAAGTCCTCGTCCTTTTTTGATGATTGTTCAGAAGTGTCGCAACCATTTTGGTCCTGAGAGTGGGCAAAGGAGACAGGAACTGGCTTGGGGATGATCAAAGCAAGCAACGTCCAAACTTTAGCAAGGCAGGTGGTGTGCGGGGAGCTGTGAAGAGCTTGGGGCATCATCATTCCGGCATAATTGCACATTAATTCCCCTTAAGACTAACAAGACTAACTTCAACTCTGAAAACCACTGGTTGGTAATTAGAGGACTCAATGACGATTCCAGGTGTAGTCTAATCATGGCTCTCGGAGCTCCTCTCAGCCCTCCAAATGAGATAGCAGGCCGATACACGCGGACACGTGCGGGTGTCCGAGCCCGAGCTTTTTGGTGCGGCTGAGGATGATTCCAACGAGCTCACTTTGGACACTTGGACTGACGGGGCAGAGTTGTGAGTGGTGCCCAATTCGAAAGGTGTTTCTTTGAAAGGTGGCGGCGTGGCTATGAGACAAGGCAGTGGCACACTCTGACTCTGCGTTCCCAAGAATACCCTACAAGTCCAAAGACCCAGTAAAACCTGGTTGTTTACCTCCTTAAGTATTGGTTTTGTATGACCATCTCCAGTACAATGAGGTCTTTGACTTGTAGGGATAGGATTCATTCTCGCGGAAGACCAGTTTTGGACGGAACATCTTTGACTACCACTGAAGAGATGGGACACTGAAGAGATGGCGCACGGAGAGGAAGGTTTGGGTTTCCAACTCATTTCTGAAGGATCTGTCAGATGTCAGCTGTTCAACGAAGTTGGGCACAACTAAATGACCCTATAGAATCCTATAGGCCCTATAGGACATGCATACTCCTTCCAGATCTCCGTCCAACTCTGAAAGACACGTCCCCCTTCGCTCACGGCTCGCCTCGCGCTTTTGGGCTTCGGCTCGAAACCGGCTGCCCGCATGGCGTGGCCTCTCAGGACGAGGTGGACGTGAAGCAGGCGACCATCTGGCGCAATTTCCGCCTCTTCGTGGGGAGCCGCTTCCGCAGCGAAGAGGAGCGGCGCGAAAGCGCTTTCGCCGCGGCCGCTTGCCGCGGCGGACGCGGCGAACGCGGGGCGGACGAAAGCGTCAGGTTGGAAGCCTGGTGGCCCCTCTGCAGGATTCATCCTGCGCGGGCAGTAGCAAGGGGAAAGAAGACTGGACCCAACACCCAAGCTGATAAGGTAGACTCTTGATTATAATATACGAAAAGGTTCTACAATGGAAAACCAGATTGACTCAAGCAGCTTGCTTTCCATTTGGTCCCGCCGCGCCCTACCGCCGCTCCAGGAGCTTTTCATGTGACTTGGTGAACAGCATAGCATGGGCGTCGTTCGGTCGGTGGTGAACATCACTAGGCCACCGAAGCGCCCTGAGTGTTGAAACGCACTGAAGCAGAGGGGCTTTCGATCCGGAAGCGGTGGAGATAAAGATAGAGAAAGAGAGGGTGCACCGGTTCTAGAAATCTCGCCAGGGGTTATCTTCAGGCATCCCTGGTTGGAGTGAGCATTAAAACCCATTTGGATGCCCTTGGCACTTCGAAGTCCATTGGCAAGTGTAGTGTGATGTTGTGATACAGCTGGCAAGACAAATCACTGAATGCCTTGTGGCTTTCGCTGCAGCTGTTTTGCTTCGAGTGTGTCAAGAACACGACAGCTGTTTGGCACATTCCTGGCATTCTTGATTATGAGACCTTCAGATATGGCACTCGCCGCAACCACACTCGTCGACCTAGCTGCCTTGACGAGACTCAAGGAAGACCAACAACACAGAAGCCATATAGAAACACAAGAATGAAACACACTTGTTCAATGATTAATTCACCATTCCCAATAATCCGCCCATCAGAAAACCCCAAAACCCAAACCAATGCCGCGTGGTACGAGTACACCGCGCAACACGGCGCAACGATCAACGATCACCCTTTGGCCTTTGCCTGCTGAGATCCGACGAATTCCCATGTCCGCTGTACCTCCGCTGCTGGCGCCCCCTGAGGGCTTTGAAGGAGCCGTCGCGGCCGGGACAGCGAAGGCGACACCGACCGACGTGATGCTTCGTGCAATCATGGTGATGGAAAGGCGCTTTTGATGGAACTGTTGATGAAGCGGACAAGCACCTCTTTGCACAGGAACCTTCTTGTTTTTGTATATAATGAGGGGCCAGGCTATGAGCGTTGGATAGAGGCAGAGGGCAAGTAGGTGGTTGCTTTGTTGGGGAGGAATCCCCCTTGAACTCAAAACAAGTGTAACAAGTGCATTGAAACCACACACAAAAACGTTTTGGCATGAACATAATTGCCTTGGTCTTCGCCCAGACAACGCATCAGCTCACACATGTTCAGAGTTGTTTCCGTTTGATTCTGCCCTAAACTTATGTACACTCCGATTGACTAACATGGAAGTGGAAAACCATTTGTTTGTAGAGGAAAGTTGTCATGTAGGTGACCATATTCCACCTCCATGACCATTTCAGGGAGCGTAACGACGTAACCCCTTTGAAAGAACACTCCTCAGACACAGAATGAACTTAAGAAATGGTCTGTGATGTGCCACTGAGCACATCAAAGACCGCGCTCGGTTGCAAAGGGGGGGATATGTTCCACCTCCTTGACGTTTGGAGGTGTACTTTCCTCGCTTCTTGGCCCCCACACTCCCATGTAAGACCTCTGGACGCAGGCGAACCTGACCCCGGAGAAGATCTTCTGCTCCAGCATCCTGGGTGGTGCCTTCATTGGCTATGGCGCTTATTTGGCCTGTACTGTGGGGGGTGCCTGCCCTGGACTGTTGGAGACCTGGCAGGCAAGACATTTTCCATGGAATCACTCCATCTGATGTGGGGTATGGGCCTCTTGCCTTTCATAGAAGTTTGACATGTGAGGATTATGAAGCAGCTGCAATGTCACAGGCAGTGGCACAACACCCGTGGTGACATTTTGAAGCTGCAGAATCTTCGATATTGCATTCAGATCACACAGCCCCTTCGACCTGAGGTCTTCATAGCTCAGTTTGTGGCAAAAACACATCAAACACCGGGTTCGACATAGCACTGGCTGGCTGAGGAGAGCAACCCAGGTGTGCAGAAGATGATCTTCGGGGCGTTTGGCTTGCCGTTCCTTGGGCAGAAGACAATCCACCTTCCACCAATTATCAGAAAGATCTGCCCAAAAACAAGCCCTGGAGTTGCCAAGCCTCCATCCTCCTAACCTTTTCCATCCTTTCCCTAAGCTCCACATCCATCCCACCTTCCATCCACCGGAACACCTGCCATCTCCGCCGCCTCGCCTTGCAGCGCCACCTCCCAGGTTCGGGCTCTTCATGACGCTCCTCAGCGGATCGGAGCTCTTCACCGGCAACGCGGCCATCGTCTCCATGGCCTTGCTGCAGGGCAAGGCGACCGCGACGCGTTACGGTGGGTCGTGAGGTGTCAAACGGGGTGGGAACGACCTGGTTTTGCTGGGGCAGTGGTTTCTGCCTGGGTCCTGGGGTGGGAGGGGTGCTGCTTTTTGGGTCGTTTTTGGGGTTTTCATTTTTTGGGGTCTCACTGCTGATACAAGTGGAGGAAGTGGTGTAGCATGGTGTAGTACCGTATAGCTGTTGATGTCGCTGGTACTTTCGTAGGACGTCCACCGGGGGGGCAGAACCTCCCAAGCGCAGGTGCAAGCGCCTCACTTGGCCAAATCGTTGCTCCTCTCCTGGCTGGGCAACTTGGTGGGTGCCATGCTGCTGGCGCGCCTGGCGATCCTTGGAACCAGGATCGATCCTAAAGGGGTGCTGATGAACGATCGACTTTGGAGGGTGCGAGGATGGGCGAGGGAGACCGTGACCACAAGACATCTGAAAGACCAGACGACCAGTTCCACGGACCCTTGTTCCAGGGACTTCGCACGCATGTTTCGCATTCCAACGCCATGTTCATCATCGAACCAAAAGGCGTTTTTCTACCGGACGAACATGGCTTCCAATGTCCATCTGCACTTCGAACTTCAAGGCGAAGTCATGGAACACCCACGCATACTGAGGGCACTTATGATGTCCATTATGAAGAAATAGGCCGAAATGTCCTCCTAGATTCATAGGGACATCATAGGCCCTATGTTCATCATGTCCGACAAGTCATGTCCTCCTCATGATGTCCATTTCTGGACGAACATCATGGCTTCCATGATCCAGTCCGCCGAGGATCTTGGCCGGCACCATGCCCGGTGGTGGCGCCGCGGTGACCTTGGCCAAGGCCAAGACCTCCTTGAGTTTTGAGACGGCCTTCGTGCTGCTCGGCATGTTCGATCGATCCTCCCACCACGTTGTAGGGCGGGGGAGGTACGAGGGAATAGTCCGTACAATGCGATTATGGACTCTTACAGTAAATCTACATAGCACAAACAATTACAAACACAGAATAAACATCGTCTTCACAGTAGATGTTGCGCCTCCCAATAAGAGGTTGAGGAATAGTCCGTGGCGCCCACCATTTGAAGCTCAAGAGGAGACGGGACGGAGGACACCGTGGCGGACACCGCCCGCCACACCGAGGCGTGGCTTGCTCTGCAACTGGCTGGTGTGCATGGCGGTCTACTTGGCCTCGATGGCGAAAGACGCCACGGGGAAGGCGGTGGCCATTTGGTTGCCCATCTCGGCGTTTGTGACCTTGGGAGCCCTAGCAGATATAGATGTGAGTATAGATGTGCAATGTGCCAGAAAAAATCACTGCGATGTGTGATGGAGATGGTAGACATGGAAGATGAAGCACTTGACTGCATCAGAAATGAACGTTAAAAACATGGAAGAGATCAATCGAGCTGTCCTTTGTTTGGGGACGACTTCTTCGTCCTCGACATGGCTGGGCGGGGCGGATCACTGCGGTGCGGGATGTCAACAGAGGTCTGGCAGTCTGTGCTGGTGCGGTTGTTTCGGTGGTTTCTCCGAATTCCTTGGGACATGGTATCCCTTTTGTTGGAGAAATGGGCCATTCTCCCCCAATGCCGCCACCTGTTGGAAGCCACCGCAGAAGAAAGCAGCGTTGATTCGAGAAACGCTCGTGTTCTATAAGAGACAATTGACACGTGTTGCATAACTTGTTTCATGTGTCTCGAGTGACCCCTCTTCTATTTTTACTGCTTTGGATGACATTCTTTCTTCATGTTCTCATTCAATCCTTTGATCTGCAAAAAGCTGAGGATTGGAGCATTCTGTGGCCAACATGTGACTTGCGATGGGAATGATATGCGGGCACGACCATGGGGTTTCTGAACACAACTTATTTGGAAAACACCTTGATTTGCCCTGCAAGCCGTTGCAAGCCGCCCAACAGACACAAGCCCTACTGTACAGATGCGCTCTTGGATGGGGTAGCGGGTCTTCGAAATGCAAACGCTGTGACGCTGTGCTAGTAAGCTCAATGAGCTGGGCTCAGAAACAAGCTCTCCTCCATTCTGCCCCCAGAGAAGCAATCATGGAAACTGCCGCATGTGATTGGACAGATCATGTTTCTTTACCCAATGGCCCAATGACCAACCGTTCAATTCTTTCTCTTTAAAGTCTCTGTGTTACGTGATCGTCTTTGCAGGCGGCAGTACGAAACATCTATGTACCAGCACCCTCCTGGCCAGGCTGTTAGTTGAGGGTTGTTGGACCCTAACAGGTCTCAATTGGTGACCTGTAGAGTCGGGTCCTGGTATATGAAACATATTGAACCATGTTACACTACGCCCCGTCACCGGGACTGTGCGCCTGAACACCGGTCACCGCCTTGTCAAGCTGACCATAGCTGACCCATCCTCGAAAAGAAAACGGCGCTGTTGTTCCAAGGCGCTGTTGAATCCGGAGGTTTTCCTGCGCAGCGGTGATCCCTTCGCGTCCGCAGCGGTGGACGCTACGTCTTCCGCGTGCGTCTCCATGTCTTCGTTCGGGTGCCGCGCATGGTGTCGGACTGCGGAGCGCGCGCGTCTTCCGTCGGACTCTTGAAGTTTCAGGTTCATCATCCCAGCGGGCATCTTCGCAGGAGCTCCGGTGAGCTGGAGCACGTTTTTTCTGAAGAACCTGCTGCCGGTGACCTTGGGCCACTTGAAATCGCACCAAAAAATGACATGGCGTGTGAGCTCCAGGTGAACTCCGCCCCCCAAAAAGTGGGCGTTATTTCATATATTATAATTATATTATTGTTCTTTATTTTTTTTCCAGGGCGGGGTGTCATCTGGTGCCTGGTGCGGACATCAATGGACCAGAATGGGCTCCGAAGCAGGTCCTCGATTGTGCAGAATTGGTTCGTCCATCAGGATGGGTATCAGATGGTATCAGTAATTATGTCGCAGTGTAGGCTTTCCATGGCTTTCCATGTTACATGTTCTTTTAGGTTTATTATCTGCAACTCTCTAAGGCAATGCAGTGGCGGGGATGTTCTGTGTCGCCTTCCCTTTCGCGGTGCTCTTCGGGCGCAAGAAGTGAAGGACGGTGCTCTTTGGGCGGTTTCCACGGCGGAAGTGAGAGAAGAGAGCTGGGCTGGGATGGAAATCCATGGGAGAAAGAAAAGGCACCTACTCCAGTGGATATCCTGTGACACCCTTGGACTCCTTGTCGTGTGCGAGAGACACCTCGCCGCCGAACCGGACCAGACGCAGGAAGAGACGCAGCATGACAGTGACTGAGAAGCAGAGCGGAGCTGAAATGGCCCAAATACATATCTCACACATGCAATTCACAAGAGAAGTTCCTTCCCTTGAATCGAAGATAGAAGCGGTGCCTTTTTTTTCTTCATGAAGATTCCATCTCTAATTGCAGACTCTTAGATCCACACATCCCACCCATCTAGAGAGGTTTTACACATCCAAACGTTTTTTCCTTCAAATCTACTTAGTCTTCATACCTCACGTCCATGACCCTCGGGAGTCGGGTAAGATAAGTTCTTTTTGGCCACTGGGAGTCGTAGGTCGATCGAACCTTAAACCCATATAAGCTACCTAAGCAGGAGCCAATGATCAACCTCTACGCCACCTACGCCAGGTTTCTTTCTAGATCGCTCTTGGCCTTTTTTTGTGCGAAACTCTGCCGACTGGTGCACAGAGCTAAATTGAGCAGTTTATGGACGCTCGTGCCACTGATGGCTGAACCTGTTTTCCTCCACCATCCCCCTCAGATCATTAAAACCCTGTCACGAAAGGTCCTGAATCACGAAGTGGGGGGGCACCTTGTATATACCAATCCAATATCAATCCAACATAATTGTTATTGAAAGACTCAACGTCGATTCGGAGCCAGCTTGTCATTGGCCTCATTCAGCTCAAGGTTTATCGCATGGCCCTTTTCATGTTCCACTGGCAGCCCAGGAAGCGCAGTGGAACAGATAACACTGCAAAAACCAGCAATTTTGCCAACGTTTTTCCAGATTTTTTAAAGCGGTTGTGGCCAGAATGATGCTGAGGTGGCACCAGGAAATGTTGGAAACCTTGTCACTTCTCCTCTTCATGCACCCATTGTGGTTCAGACAGAATCTTGCACACCCGCGCGTGGGTCTGGCCATCGCCCAAAAATCACCGCCGCGGGAAAAATCGTGAGGCGATGTGAAGGGTTTGAGCGAAGATGAAGGAGTGAAGGAGGGAAGGAACCTCTCTGCAAGACCATGGAAAAGATCGGATGGTTTTCACAAGGTGGTTTGGATGGTGAAAAAGCCGGACGGTTTTGGACGGTTTTGGAGTGTGCGGGGTTGCCTTCACTTTTGGATATCAATGGATCGAATGTACCTGAAGAGTTTGCAGCTCGCAGGCCTCGGAGATCCTCGAAGTTCCAGTCCAGTGATGACTAGCCTCCCTCCAACACATGATATCATGGGAAGGCACTCGCAGTGTGGTCTTCAGAAGCCAGCCCATCCACTTAATGGCCTCCTTTTCCTTGTTGCGATGGCCTCCAACCTAGTGATGCAAGCCGTGGCCACTGCCGTGGCCGGTGTCGCACGGGGACGAACCTTTGGACCTCATGTGACGTCACCTTTGGAATGCTCAAAGGTCTCAGTATTGCCTGTGACGTTGAGTGTTGCACGACACGTGTTTCACACACTGCCGGTGATTCTGGCAAAATCTGAGAAGCCGGAATCTCATTCCAGCATTGTTGTTTGGTGTATTTTTGCTATCAAAACCGTCAAAGACAGTTCCACTTCTTGAGCACTTACTGCATGTGTTCCTTGTTTTGGGGGATTGGAGAAAAAGCACATGCATTGTTTCTTTTTCCAACAAACCCCTTTCAATCCATGTCCAGGATGAGCCCTTCACATGACCTCCAAACACTTCCAACCCCCCCCCCGGTCGCCGCACACCGACCCGCTCGCTCTCGACTCCGCGGATCGCTCCGAGGCGCTGCTCTGATGCGGCGGACCTCGAGAAGGGCCGCCGCCTCCGGGAGGCCAAGGCCCCGACGAAGCGGCGACGAAGCGACGGTCCGCAGTGCGCGCGCGGAAGGCCGCGCGGGACGGAAGGAACGGCCGGGTGCCGAGTGAACGCGGGGGCGGATCTGGTGTTGCAGCGAGCACCGGTGAACAGCGGTCCGGCGAGGTCAAGGCAGGAAAACCGGCAGATGGGACCGGGAGGCTTCTTCTTGGAACAGAACTGGGTAGTCTGGGTCGAAGTCTGGAGTCTATGTTTGGCTTTTGGTTCCGCCAGAGGGTGGCTCGAGTGTTCAAAGTCTTCTTCGCTTCTGTGTTTTGTGATTTTGTATGACGTTGTGCTCTTGAAACGTTGTCTTTTGCCAGGACCAACTGTCCAGAGAGGACTTCTGCCTGGAACTGAGGGGTGCCCGAGACTCTGAAACTTGGGCATGAGGAAGACAGCGAATTGAGAAGAGCCAGCGAATTGAATTGATGGAATTCACTCCATGTTTTCTAGTCATGTTGGCCTTGTTGGCCGAGCGAATTGAGCGAATTGGCCATGTTGGCCAACATGAGAAGATACGTGGCCTGGTGCAGTTTCCCTGCCAGCTATGGCCTGGTGCAGGAAACACCGGTATACGAGGACCGAGGACCCAAACAGCTCCTCTTCACCATGAGCTCCTCCCCAAACACGAACACGTACCACTGCCCATTCCAGGTAACATGTTCATTCTACTCTCAATCTGCCCGGACTTGGGACGATATGACTTGTGACTCATGCATAAAGAAGTCCAAAGTCCTCAGCTTTGCAAGTCTACCTGCACGTCTGACCTAGTCACCCCCAAATCTTCCAACATCGACACCTAGAATCCAATGAAATCCATTGCCACGTCGCCTTCCACCCAAGCTTACACCCCCCAGCGGACTGATCATCACGGCGCGGTCAGACCTGGCACCAGTCGGCGCCTCAGACCCGGCACCGAACGACGCTGGGTGGCCCTCCGCATCGAGGCATCGGACTACGCAAGTGCGGTTGGACCTGGGGCGTGGGCGATCTGAACTGGGCCTCTTGGGCGATCTGCACGCGCCGCGCCGTGGACGGAGTGGCGGAAGGAACCCACGGAACGGATTGGCAGAGCTCAAGCTCCGTGCTTTCATGTTAACTCAGAATGGAAGAGAGAGCTTCGTTCCAAGCTAATGAGTGATGGTTTCCAACTCAAGATGAGCTTATATAGTGGGTTTGGTCATAAAGATGTCATGAGAATGCTTCGTTGCGTAAGACATAGGAAACACCCTGGAACTGCTGTCAGCTTGTCAGCTTGTCGCGTTTTGTCGCGTCTTTTCACGTTTTTGACACGAAGAAATCATGGGAGGATTTGATGGGGAAGGAGGGTCGACATCGAATTCCGCGGGGAGAAGCGAGTGAGAGGAGTTCAGAGTTTGCGGGTGTGAGTGCAATTTGAGTGTCATAGGAGTCAAGCCGATTGACTCTGGAGTATTTCTGTAGAGCGCAGAAAGGACGAGGCCTAACCCTCCATTCACAGGGCTAACTCTCCAGCCAAAACTCGCAACACTTATAGAGGTTGGTGCCATTCAGGCGGAAAACATCGCTGTAAGTGGTGATTGACAAGTTGGCGTCGTGTGAATGTATTTGGGTGAAGCCGGTCAGACAGGGTGTGAGTCAGGTCAGCACACCAGGGCAGGTGAGACTCTCACTATCTCTCACTAGACCTCTCACCTTGCAGTTGTTGGAGCCTTCACCCTGGACCCTCCCCAACCAACAAAGCTGGAGACCCACAACCCCACCACATCCCACAACCCAAGCCTGTTTACTTGGGGGATCTCCTCACCTGGGGGATCTCCTCACGAGTTGCCCGAAGAGAAAGGTGTCTGACGCCCAGGTCTTTGATGCCTTGCAAGACCAGCAGCAAGGCATCCTGAAGGTGGAGAACCTGCGCCGCTCGGAGAATATCACCGTCTGTCTGTGGCAAGGCGGCTTTCGAGAAGTCCCATAAAGCCATAAGGCGAACTAGATCACTAGGTGAATATGGTTTAAGAGTGCATTTGGCAAACGGTGGATGTGGCTGGGCAGAGTATGATAAGTGATTGTGGATTGAGGGTCTGGAGCTGGGGTCTTGAACTCTCACACACTTGACGGTCCAATATGTCCGATTTCTCCACCCAGCCATTGCCATGGAAGATTCCAGATTCGGCGTGCAGAAGCCGCTCCGGTTTTTAAAACTTAAGGATGATGAAGCATGATGAAGGTGCCTTGACTGGACCCCCCAACCCCCAGTTTTAAGTTGTTCCTGCTGAGCCAGTTTGATTGACTCAACTGTGAAACAACCTGAGTGCATTTTCGGGATGGGGATGCCTCATGGACAGGGAATTTCTGCAAGTCTATAGGGGGAGGTTTCTGACTTGGGATCCTCGCCAGGCATTCTTATTATTGCTTACGGGCTTGACACTTTCTGAAACAATCATGGTTACGCGGATGGCACCCGGGCCATCCACCATCCACGGCGATTCATCCAACTCATGCCACATAAGTGCCAATTAAATGCATGACTTGATTCATAACCCCCTCCATATGAAGCTAGGATGTCCAATTCAAGTGAGTGCATTCAAGTGAGTGGGTTTATGAATCAGTCTACATTAAGGTGTGATCCTGAGCTGCCCACGGTTTCTGAGGATGGATGGGGATCGAGCTGGCGCGAAAGCAGAAGAAGCAAGAGGCCGAGAGCTTCGCCGAGCGGAGCTTCGCCGTGGTGAAGCCGCAGTGAAGCCATGGATAGTGACTGGTGATGGGTGGCCACCATGCTGGCCATGTATCGCAGATGACTGGCTGGCCTCTATAGGTTGAAAACATGTATGAGTATGAGATGAGTATGAGATAGATATTTGTGGCGAGTAACGTTAATTCGATCATATTAGACACGTGGCGCCATGGGCTTCATGCAAGCATCGCTTCCAACATCAGCCAGTCTCCCAAACCATCCCAAGCCGTAAGAACCATTAAGAACATATCAGAACTGCATACTTCATGAGGTTCTTAATGGTATGAAGTATGTTTCCAGGGTGGAAAGGAACTGCCATTGGATGCATTTCGCGGCCACGAACCGCCCTTTTTCTCGGAGCGCAAGAGCAAGAGCATGTAAAAAGGAGTGGAAAGGAACTGCATACCGAGGATGACCTCCCAGGGTTCCCTTCCTTTTTGTTTGCTTCCTTTTTGGGGGCTTCGTCCGTGGGTCACGGACGACCGCGGACGACCGCTCGCAGCCGGCTCCGCGGAGGCGAAAGCACGGTCGAAGAAGTGGCAGGACGGTTCCGCGCGGAACGCGCCGGCAGAGCGGCGCGGCCTCGTCTCCGCAGTTGTGCAGAGCCAACGGTACAGATCCTGGTCTTCTTTTCAGAAGCTTTTCAGTTTGGAAACCACTATCCCAAAGTGAGATAAACAACATTAAACAACTATCCCAAACTGAGATGCCTCGAACTTCATTTGGATCTACATCCATATATTCCGACTCGTCCCCATGCTGTGGGGCAAGGCCGAGGCCGGATGCCAACGGCCGGCCGGCTGGTCTTCAAGTCGTGCCCCCCGTTCGGGCAAGTGCCGGTCGGTCGAGCGGGTCCAACGAGTTTCAGGGGAAACATCCGAAAGGACATGGTTTGGAGCCCTGCTAGACACTACTAGACCTTGCTGCTGCTGCTGCTGATGATGATGATGATGATGATGACGACGACGACAGCATTCAAGGGTTAGACTATATCTTAGACCATCTTAGACCTCTAGACTCATTGGAATTGGTTGTGACCTCAACTTGGGTGGTCAGCATTCGATTGAATGTAACAAACAGCGTACAGAAGAAGGAAGCACCAAAACAGGCACCATCAAACACCCAGCACACGCCAAACTGCACCAACGTTAGCCAGGCACACGACGCAGGCGCCCGAAAAACTGTTTGTCTGGTTCTCCAGCCGCCTGGGACCTCACACGCTCCACTCAGTTGCCCCCATCTGGCGCCACTGGCATCACGGTGCTCGCGCCGCAACGCGCCGCTCAGCCGCGCCGCAACCCGCCGCGCCAGCTCAGCCAGGCACTGAAGCGAAGCCAAGGGATCTCGCCGCAGGTGAAGCACCGCCACTTTGCCACCTTCAAGGCACGTGGTGGAGAGGCTCCGGAGACTGGCCGAAGAAAACACACACCGAAGAAAACACATCGGCCGACTGGCTGGAATCGGGTCACAGAGAAGCAAGCACAAAGGTCCGGTGTGAAAAGGGGGGTTGCATGTTTTGGAGGAAGGTGTTCCTTGCAAGTAGGTCAAGTTGTGTGGTTGTTTCATTCTTGAAATGGGTTGTGTTTGGCAATGACATTGACTATGCCATGGGGCTTACTTAATTATTTCACGGTTCAATCCACAAATGCCCATGTTCCCGCTGAGTCTTGACCTGCCAGCCTGCTCCTGATCTCCTTGACATGACCAGCCACCCCCCCCGGAATCAGTCAAACGCCAGGCTCAGACAGCGAAGGGTTCCGGGACCTCTTGTTCCGGTCGACGGTGAGTTCTCAAGTACTGTAGGCCTTCTTGCGGAAGAAGTTCGGGAACCTCATCCGCGCCTGGCGGCAAGCCTTGTCCCAGACCGACTCTATGGCATCTCGGCCGTGTTTTTGCTGCGGGATGCTGCGTGTGGGGTGGAAGTCCAGTGGAGTGAGGTGGGACGCGAAACGAAGATGAAGAGTATGGAGACTTGTATTTTGCAGATTGTGGCGCGTTTGACTGCTTTTGCACCTCATTTGGGGCCCCACGTCGTATTTGCAGGTGTAGCTGCAAGCTGCATAACTGCATGTCAGCCTGTGTGGACTCTTCCATTTGAACCCATATTCAGTCATACCAGCAGTCACACAGGGGTGCTTAATGGAGGTTAGGGGTGCCCATTATCCACTCACTTACAAACACCTATCCGACATGTGACTCCGGTATTCTTTTGCAATCTCATGTCATCTTGGTCGACCACATCCATCCCGCAGGGCCTTTGGATGGGGTGCTTCTAGCAGCGTGTCGCCGGTGGTGTCCAGTTGTATGGATGTGTGTTGGGGGTGTCCCATGACCTGCCACAGTCAGTAAACAAGCAAATCACTATCTTAGACCAAGGCCTGCAACCTAACCATCTTCATCCACTGGGCCCAGGGAATAGGATAATATACCTTGTGTGTTTCCAATTACTGTAACTGTAACAGTCATTTAAAGGGCCTACTGTTTAACTCTATATAAAGGTAGCACCATGGTCACTGTTACAGCAAACTGGAAACACACAACACACACACAAGATCTACCCAAGATGTGTGGACCATGGAAATCCCTGGCCTCAGGTCTTATCGAAGCTCCACTTTCTGAAGGCGGGATGGTGCGAATGGCGCGTTGGAGATCATTTGAACGAAGCTCCACTTTATAAGAGATCGTATGGATCCAAAACAGGCATCAAAACACTCAATAATTTCAGAACCGTTCTCAGAACTTCAGATGGAGCATGGCCACAGCGGCCCGCAGGAGGACATGGATTGAAAGGAGGTTGGCAACCCCCCAGGCTCCTATGATGGCAGCATGTTCAGGGCTAGCGGCTAGATTTCCCCCATGAATGGATGGAACTTTGCCATGCATTCATTCCCACACATTCTTTGATCAATTAGATGCTTTTAAGAATCAATCACTTTCTAAAGATCACCAAGTCATTAGATGGCTAGACTAGATGGCTCTATATCGCCTTCCGTCACCCAGCAAAAAAGACGAATGTATATAGGATGGGGAAGACCTCGTGTCCTGCAAGGGAGAAGGACACGTGTTCTCCACCAACCCTGGAAATCACCAGCGCGATAGCGTGGAACACATGGCGGGCCGGCTCGGTCATGACACCAGGATACCGCTTTGGACCGTGAGTTCGGTGTTGATGAAAACCGTGGCGCCTGGACTGGTTGGGTTCCAGGTGGGTCACAAAAACCCATCCCCACACACATCAGTGGTGCCAAAATCGAGTCGAACCTGGACGCCACGTGGGCGCCTTCTACGAAGCCAGGCTGCCAGCCGCTTAGGCTTCGCCAAGGAGTCGAAGGAGTTGTGGAAGGCCTTAGACAAGGACGACAGTGGCCGCTGGGCCGAAGAACTTGAGCGTTTTATTGTTTGTTTGGTGGTGGTGGTGGTTTCAGATAATTTGTTAGTTTTCACAGTTGGGAATATCTATAAAGATCCCCTGACTCACATTTGGCAAGGGAGTTTTATGTTTTTTTCCGCAGCTCCAACTCATCTTTGGTCCACTTATGTCTACTTGGGATGGCACTTATTCCTTGCACTGCGAAGCAGGAGATCAGGAGATTGGGCCTCGCCGCCAGCCCGATGTTCGTCGAAGCCACCCACTTCCCAAAAAGCCTCCCACTCCAAACTGCGGGGCACCTCTCTTCCCCCCCACTACGTCCCACTGCTCGAACGCCAAACGCCTAACGCGCCACTCGCACACTCCGCCACTCCGCCACTCCGCCACTGCGCTGGGACGGCCTGCCGCTTCTAGGTTCGGCCTCCATCGACGAGTTGGACCCCAAAAACGCCGAGCTCTTGGCCCATTTCAAGGCCCCAAACCGAAAAGCAGCGCGACGGAAGCGCCCCGCGCGACAGAGGAATGCGCGTGCGCGAAGCGGGGTGAAGCGGGTGAAGAGGAATGCTCCTGCCAGGTGTTCTGAAGTCTCGGAGCAAGGAGGAGAGATGTTGTTTTTTTGGGGGGGAAGTTGATGGCGTGGTCATGTTGAGGGTGACGGGAAGATGAAATGAGGTGAGAGGGGGTGGTTAGGTCCGTTTGAGAGGTGTGATGACATGTGAGGATATGCAGGTTAAAAGACTAAGGCGGGCAATGCATAAGAGCATGTAATTACCAAGCATTGTTTGCCTCATACTGTTTGCCTCATACACGTTCTTTTCGCTGTTTGGCCTTTGCAGAACACGGATGCAGAACGAGGATGAATTCCCACCACGGAAACGCTTCTACAAAGACGCCCTACATTAAGGGTGGGACTTGGGTGGTGAGTGTAGGTTCATATTTGCGCTACCCCAAACGCTCGCGTTTGAGATGCAGATCCAGATCTTCATCACCTCTTCCCGGTGGTTCGGTGATCCGTTTTGACCTCACCGGCGCGGTCGCCGACCTCATCGGACCGAAAGCGAGTCTGCTCCGGCAGGTCTGGGTGAGTCAGAAGTTCGGGGGTGTCCGCGACACTTGGCGATGTCGGATGAACAGATCTCACACGCAGATGTCAGCAGTGAAGAGAGCCTTCCTGGGCGGTCAACACTGCAAGAAAGCCATTCTTCAAAGGGTCGAACTGGGAACGGGGAGCGTTTGAATGATCGAAAGATGGCACAACTAGCCGGAGTTGCCCTTTGCTTGATCAAGCTTACTACATCTTAGTACCTTCCAGCTCTTGGGGAAGGTTGGTGATAAAACACCTGCATGGTTGACCATCCGGACCATCGAACGTGTTTACAGAATAGTCAACTATGGTCAAATCATGTCAAATCCACTGGTTTTGGACCCACTGGTCACCTCTTTGCGTGGCTGTGGTTCACCGGTCGGACCGGCATCGGTGTCACTGCGGCATCGGTGCGCCGGTCTAGGACGCCTTCAATGCCATCGACTCGGACTCCACGCGCTTCATCACAGCCACGGAGTTTGCCAACGGCTTGAAGAAGTTCGAGTTCGAACGGCCCACGAAGCAGCTACCTGGCGGGATGTGAATGGATATATGTTATATTAAGTGGATGTAAGGAATAGGATCGTGAGGCATTTTTGGTTGAGCATTATTGTTTGTTTTTGGGTCAAAGATCTTTGAACATCAAGTGGCATCATCACATATGAGTTCGCTAGATGTTTCAGCGGGTTTTGGGCAATGTCTCAATTGTCATCACTTGGCATGCATCGAATCACCCGAATCACTTGTCAAACTGTGTTCATTGATGTTAATTGTGGTATGAAACAAGTGTAGGCGTGAGAAGGACCGGATTGAACATATATTCAAGAATCAAGCGTTCAGCCTTCAGACTCATTGGTTCGAGCGTTCGCCTCACCGGTCCGGGTCGTTTAGGACCCGGGCTTCGCCGTCTAGTCCGGTCATGTTCCGAAGGCTCTTCAGCCACTTCGACAAGGATGGAGATGGGAAGATTGCTTGGACGCCCAGCGGCGGTTCGGCCGTTCGGTCGTTCAGAATGAAGAAACCCCATTCATCGACCTGGGCCGGAATGAATTTACACCCTGGAAGGTGCACATGGGTTGTTAGAGTGAGTGCAACCAAAGAGGAGAGTTGTCGAGCACTTATATCCACAGATGCTGACCAGAGTATACCAGAGTATTCTGTAGAATGACAGACCAGTGAAGATGCTATACACATGGTCAGCTTTAGCAGAGGTGTGAAGTGTGCGACCAACCCTACGTCCCTGTAGCGAGGATTCCCAGAAACAGAGGACTTCCTTAAACGGTTTGGCTAGAAGATGTTAAAAGCTATCCTTGCTCCAAGCCTACAATCATCAATCCCATAGAAGAAATATCAACTGCATGCAGCTGGGGCTCCTTGATTGCTACGTGAGGTCAGAAGGGATGGAAGTTTGGGCCCTGTGAAGACCATTGGGCCATCTAAACAGATGGCCTTCCAATTCCATGTGAGGTGTTCATTGGAGGGTGCCCACGTCGCCCAGTCTCCAGACGAAGCAATCGCGTCGAGCGAATCATCTACACTCCATCGGAACCCAGGGGACGAGGATCGAGAATCATGGAGGATGGGTCTCATCCGTTCGGAGCCATCCTGCCACCATCCACTTCCTCCATGATTCTGAGTTCAATTTGAGTTCAAGAACTTGGGGTTCAAAACCAACTGGAGTTCAACTGAAGTTCAACTGGACTGGAGTTCTTCCAAAACTGGAGTTCAACTGGACTTCAACTACTTCCTCCACTTCCGAACTCAACAACTTAGAAGTTCCGAACGCTTCATTCGCCGAACGATTCATTCGCTTCGCCAGAACGAAACGATGTGCTTCCTTCGCTCGAGTTCCTCGCTCGCCTTCGCTCGCCGGGACGCTTCGCATCAGATCATTGACGACGTGATGTTCCTGGAGAATTGGACTCCTTTGCCCTTCTTGGTGGTGGCGCCCAATTACAAGGCGCGATCCCACTGAAAAACGTGGTCCCGCAAAGGGTTCCCAGAAGGTGGCTGAGACTGTACGTTGCATGATGCAATCTTCTTTGATAAACCGGAAGAAGTATGCAAGACATGTGCATGCTGGATGAAGGTGCATGCAAGACCTTTCAACACAATAGGCAATTGAGTTTCCTTATGGCCCTTACCCCGCCCACAGTTCCTCCCACATTGAGACTTCCTGAGCCGTTCTCGGCTTTCAACCAGGCGAAGGAGGAGATTCGGAGGCTGATCTTGGTGAGGACCGGTCAGTACATGAAAGCCTGGTGCTGAACTCAGCTGAAGCATCAATGGCCTTGACTTGGTCCTGGTTGATTAATAATGATCAATAACGCAGACTCTTGATCAATAACCCCCCATATGAATTGACAAATGATGAAACAGCTCTTTACATGGTGGGTTTATGAATCAAGAGTCTGCATTGTAGGGGGCCACCCCTTTCGGTCTATGGTACCTGGCTTCAACCCCTCCAAAATGGCCGGGTCCCTGGGACACAGCGGTCTCTCGACCCACGTCGTCCTCTTCGCGCACGGCTTTCAGCTCGGGCCACCGTTGAGGCGGCGATTGTTGGACAAAGATGCCACCAATCGAGCCTCGGAGATGAAACAGCAGAGCCATGCACTGGGTTGACCAGTCGCATCGTGAGAAGGTGGCGTGATTTGATGTGATTTTTCGACTTAACCTATTACATAAACCATCATAAACCCCTCCATTCTTTTATTTGAGTCATATGGATGTTGAGCCCCTGGACTTCGCCTCCAGGAATGTCTGGGACCGGACCTGGGTGCCGCATGCGCATGACACGACTCCCGTTTAAGCCGTATACAAATGATCTGCAGTGGTTTGGGGTGGGATTACGATTCCTAAATGGGGTATGGTTGGAAGTTTGGGGCATGTTCCAACTACCCTCCCTATCACACCATGGCCACAATCTTGGAAGCGAAGCACCATGCAGCCATCATTTTTTGGTAGCCCAGAGGTAGAGTTATTTTTCAGTGGCCCGAGGGGACCTTCTCAGAAGGTGTTTGGATCCCTGGCCATTCTCAGTTGTTGACACCTCTAGAACCATCGCGCAACGGGACCCACCAGTCCAAAATCGTGGCTGAACCAGAGGGCACATGATGGCAGTTTTTTCCTGGCCCCGGGGCAGGTGGTGGTAGCTGGACCTTCCGTGTGTTGATCATCAGATGTGCCCATAAATGTCAGAACTGAATATATAACTTGGGTTTGTTCCATAATTTTGTACCTGCAACAGTCGGTAAACACTTATACAGTAATTTTAGAGAAAGGGCCTGCAACCTAACCATCATCATCCACTGTGACTCTTACTGGTAATACGATATGTACCCCCAAGCCATAACTCTCATGCCATTTGACCCTTTTGGGAGCCGCGGATGTCACAGCTTTTGAGGATGTAATTGGTACGAGTTCAAGGAGGCCTACCAAGTTCTCGGCTACACGGGCACCTCGGCCTGCCAAGTGGTCTGCGACCAAAAAAAGCTCCGTTGCGCGTCGGGCGAGCACGAACGCGGAGGTTCGGCTGGAGGTTCCTTCTCTGAGCGGGTCTCGGTCAAAAGTGCCATGGGTACCAACAGTTTTACACCTGTTCTGGCGAGGAAGCGCGCACTGGGCCAAAGCTTGAGCAAATCCACAAGCAGGATTTTGCTTGCAGGTCCCCTTTTTCGGCGCTAAGTGAAGCACGTCTCCACTTCCAACAGGTGGCCGCCGGTTGGGGTGGCACCTGTCATGCGCTAGCAGCATTGGGGAGGGTGGAGCACCTCTCCGAAGAAAGCACCGTCCAGCGAGACCACTCGGCCATCAGGTGATATCCCAGGTGCGTGGCGGGCCTTTGATGATGATTTGCCGCTCTCCGAGACTGGAGCGAGGTTTCTGGAGCGAGGTTTCTGTAGAACAGATCCCACTTTTTGCGGATGAGCTGAGGGGATTCCTCATGCTTGGTCATGTTTCTGAAAGGGGCTGCATGTGCAGCAACTGGAATGAACAATCATGATGCAAACCGCCTTCAATGTCCAAGTCGCCCAAGCTTGTTGGTTCATGTTTGTGCGCGTCATTGGCACAAACCCCATGCCAGGCTTAGTATTTGGCTGGCTGGACCATCCTGCATCCCACCCCCCCCGAGAACTACCACAGATCCGGTAAAAGGCTGCTTTTAAGCCGACTTTCCTACTGTATCAAGCAGACGTTTCCATACGTTTCCTATATATACTAAGTAGCCTCACGTCCTGTGAGTGCCTCCTGTTGTCTCAGGTCGGGCTACATCTCTCTGAAGGAGATTGATGAATCTTCGGCCATGATCTTATCCAACTTCAGGCGGAGTAGCATTGACAAACTTTTTTTTTTCCAAACGGCACCTCGCTCCGTTGTGTTCGGGGGGAACGACGGGAGAGAACCCATTTTCTCGGAAAAAGGGGAACGAGAACCGGGCTGCCAAAAACTTACTTACTCTCGTTTGCGGCAAGAATGGTTGCTTTTTGAGTCGCGTCCGGGTTGACTCGATGGGGATCTCCATCAAAACAAGACCCAGAAGTTTTGATATATGCATTGTTTATCATTGTTTTGTATGATCCTGCAATATCCCATAATTAGGCCCATTTGTTTTGGCTTCACATTGCTTTTCACTATGTCCTTTCTTGGTACATCATCAAAGGGATTTGACCCTACAAGGTGCCCCGAAAGAAAAGAACCCATGAGATACGACCTGCCATTCGTTCGTGTCACACCGCTGGGGTGTGTCCACCCCTTTGAGTCCAACCTCCGCCGGCCGAGTCCTTTCGCCTCTGGACCTCCAAAACCGGCCAAACCGCACGGGCGCATGACGTGGAGTGGCACGGCACATGACGTCGTTTGTAGTGGTGATGGTTTTTTTCCAAAGCATCTCGTTGTAGTCGTAAAGGAAGACATCAATTCAATTCATTATGACAAAATTGATGAGACACTCAGTGCTTTGGCTTGATACACACATTCTCCTTGTATGAGAGGCTTGTACATCCACAAATAATATCCCTTCAAGTGATCTTTTCACTGGACTTCGGCACGATGGTGGGGGGATCGTTCGGCGATCCCGGGGGGGGCGGCCAGGAAATGGGCGATCATGGAGTTCGGCTCCATGCGTTCACTCTTCTCAGTCTTCGATGAGGATTGCAGTGGCAGCCTCTCCTGGCAGGCGCCCAGACGAGTTTTCCCTGCACCTGGCGGACTTGGGGGTGTGAGTGGCTTCTGAGCGGGCCACCCCTTACACTGGTAGCAGTGCTGAGTCAGTTGCCGACAAGGCTCCTCCAGGAATCAAGAGTTGCCGAAAATCCTTTGTCGTCTGAGATGGTCTGAGAACATCAAAAATGCCAAGACAGTTCTCCCTTCAACATCTCGCTTCCAGAAAGATGGCGTGCATCCTTTTAACCCGAAAGTTGGTGTTGCTGCCGCGAGGTCTTCACATGGCTCTGCACCGGTCAAGTCACCTGCTCTCGGCGCCTTCGACCGGTCACGTCCCAAACGGAGCACCGTCCAACCCGCGACGCCCACGGCTCCAGGAGTTCCGCTATGCGTGCAATGCATACAGCTACGATGGGTCGATCAGGTGGAGCGTAAACGGACCAGCGCCAGTGGTGGGTTAAGAAGGTAGGATGGTAAAAGGAGGTACATAGGAGGCATAAGAATGCTGGATGCTATAGGCCTATAGGCTATGCTAGGCCCAACAAACATGATTCAACGGTCGAGTTCTGAAGAGCTGTCAGAAAGGACCTTCTTGAAGCCGAGCCCGAGACCGTTCAAGATATATGCCATGCCTGCTGAAACGTCCTCGCTTGCTGACCGAGTTTCGGTGGACCAGGTCGCTGTTCAACGCCTTAGACGTGGATCAAACGGGGAGCCTGACGCTGCGCCTCGGACACGAACAGCTGCGCCCAAGCAACATGGGCCGGGGCCGGTGGCACTGACTTGGAGCGAGACTGACGCTTTGGTGGAAGACGGCATCATACGACATCATGTAGACTCTTGATTAACAAGACCTCCATATTATAGAGAGGATGTCCAATTCAACTGGGTGGGTTTATTAATCCACATGATCGACTGATTCTCCACATGTTCGAATTCACGTTGGAGGTTTCGTCCGTTTTCGTCCCCCGGGGGTTGGCAGTCGATGGTCCAGGAAGGAGGTGGTCTTCCTGGAAGATTGGGATGATCCGGATGAGGAGCAGTGACAATTTCAGCGACAGGTGGCATATATCGGCATATATGGGATGCATATGATGGCATATTCTGGCATATGGCATGTGATACGATCCACTTTCCTGATCCTTGAAGTCTTCCAAGAAGTTTATCTCAGTTTGGCCACGTCACTTCAGCATTTTCCATGGTCAGATGAAGGAAGATGCACCTAAAGCTGAGAGTCCTTGAGAACCTTCATCTGGGCGCAGATCGGTCATGATGATCATCATGGATCGGTCAGCCTTTGCTTGCCAGGACGAACGAGATCGACTCCCTTTGGAAGGCGCCCACTCTGGGAGCGCGCTCGGTAGCGGGGGTGGGGGTACGGGGGGAGTGCCCCGGACTCCCTCGGAAAAAAGGCCGATGGATTCGAACGCCCTCCGCCAGGGGAAGGAAACAACTCGGGTTGGGATTTTCTACTGTAGGTCAAGCATATCAGGTAATTGGAGTGAGTACCCATGGATGGGGGAAGGATCTCAGGAACTTCTGCATGCCGAGAAGAAATCTGAAAGGCACCTTGCCAGGAATCTCTTGAGGCAGTTCAGCTTGAAAGCACTTTGGCATAAGCCAAGACATGCCAAGACACAGCTCGTCCGCTTTCTTTGTTCGGACGCAGATCTTGGTAATCCCAACAAGAAGTCCGCTATTGAACATGGCCCACTTTCGTGCTGTTCTCCCCATAGAACCACAAAATCTTGTGCTTCAAGACATGTTTCATGAAGATATGTTCAGTTGTTTTTGGAGGTGGTCTTTTGATTTTGGACATTTTTGGAATGCTCGTATGTTGTGTTTGATCGACGTGCCCTCATATGTAGCGTTTGGCTTGCTGTTGTTCGCTTTTGGGCGTTTGGCTTGGCTTTCTTTGGGTGGCTTTGGGTCTCGATCTGTGGCTTTGATGGCTTTTTGGCTTCTCGCTTCAGCGGCTTGCTTTCCCCCACCTCCTCCAGCATTTCAGTTCGAAGAACCACGCGCAAACAAAGGACCAGAGAAGTCAGAGACGTTCAATGCAAAGGCTTTAGCCGCTTTAGCCTGGAGAAACATCCTTTCGCCCCCTGTTTCTGTTCACAAGACCCAGGAACTGGGAGAGAAAAGGATGGATATCAGCGCCAATTCCAAGCGGAACTTCGAAGTCTTTTCTACCTACCGGACCATTGGTCGCACACGAATTGGTCACCGCTTCAAGTCAGCCTCATTAAATAGTACACATAATTATAGCAACACTAAAAGCGTCATATCAAGCTAGCGGCCAAAACATGTTGATGGCTTTGAGTCTTGGAGTCCTGTGTGTGTTGCTTTTTTTTGTCCTCTTCGACTGTGGAGGACCCAACATTCATGCGCAAGGGGCGCAGGCGGTGCGAGCGTGGGAGCGCATTTTCCGCCGCAGAAGTGCAACATCTGCCCGGGGTCACATGGATGGCTTTTGGACGTCCCGAGTTGATGGACATACCATGGTTTTTGACGGTTTGTGGGAAGTCTGGGAAGTCTCTTCCTGCCGGGCATGGCATTGGACATGGGAACGCTTGCCAAAGCTGGTGTGGGAGACCGACCAAGATTTTGAGCCTTCGGCAAGAGATGCCTTGAACACAAGATGCATGCCTTGACGATTCTGAAAGAGATACCTTGCCAAGGTGGTTCTTCAAGTTGAAGCTTGCACAAGCAAGCTATCCACCTGAACTTCAGATGCACACCAGTTGATTCTTCAGAATTCCTCTGGGCCAACCACCTGATCCCACATCTTTCCACAGCCGAGCATAAGCAGGTGGGCTACAGCACTCTGGTGGGTGCGCCATGGCAAGTGACAGATCGTCCAGCCACTCGACTAGACAATAGGACAGCCTGGCAGTGCGCGTGGAACTTCAGTTGGAACTTAAAGCCTATCAGAAAAAACATAGAAAAACATAGGTTCTGATATGTTCTTGATGGTTCTGCCACCCTTTTGCACATCAAAAGCCTTGGCAAACAAGGGCTTTGTAAAGGTCAAACCGCTTGGCATGGCGCGATTCGCGTCGCGTTTTCTTCCACTGCGGCGGCCATTTTCGGCGGCCAACTCCCGAGGCCAGACGCTTCGAGGTAGTGAGGCTGGAAAGAGACGAAAACCTCACGAGGTCGAGACATGTTGGGAAACTCAGGAAAACTTAGATGTGGGTCTGTGGGTCACTTCTTTTTCTCATTTTTTGTGCCTGATTGGCAATTTTATTGACATTTCCTGACATGATGGATGCCTGTGACATCTGGTGACGCACTGGTGCTTGGCTGTCGCCTTGGTTCTCCTTTGGAAAAATGAAGCTGCTCTCCGTTTCCTGGTTTGGCTTGAGGTGATTTCTTCCCTGTGGGTGAATCCCCTTCCGGGGAAGAGATTTTTCCCCGGTTCCGTAAGCAAGATCCAGAGAGGTCCACAGAGCCAGGTGGTGAGGAGCCGTGGCTTGATTCCACGGAGGAGGAGTTTTACGGAAGATGAGCCACCATGGTGATTTTCGGGGTCATGCCGTGCACGTGACCATGGTGTAGGATGACCTGGAGCGGATAGAATATGATAGAATATTGGAACATCCAAAAGCAAAGGAATGCTGATCATATTTGTGGACTGGTTAATATTATATCTACTCCAGGATTCTGATAATTCCAAGGCGATGTAATCATGTTAATCCCCACCCTTTCCTATCCAAGTGGTTGGACCCATGAGCTATTAAGAGGATCAATTGTAACTAGTGTTTAGGACGGCGGAGGTTGATAAGTCACATACCCCAGAGGGCCAAGGGTGCTGACAACAAGTAAGTTAACAAGTAAGTTCATGGGTGGGATCAGCAGCAAGGCATTGGCTGGATATATTTGGATATGATATGACAATAACTGAAAAGATGCTTTTGAAGGGGCCTGAGATATGTTCGCCAGACGGAGTTGAGTTCATTATTGATCTGGACTCGTGGAATTCTCATGTCGCACGCATCTCTCGCCTGTATGATGGGAAGAAGGACTTGGCAACATGTGGCGACGGGTTCTTTGAAAGGCACCCTCCAACCTGTATGTTGAGTGATTTCAGTGTAGTTGTAGGAGTAGTCATGCTGGGGACAGTTCACTCAGAGGATCGCGCCATGGGACTTTGAACGTGCTAAGAGTCTTGACTGAGTAGGGTATCGAAAGAGGCCCAGCTGTTTCTTCTACGTTGCAGAGGCTCAATCAGGTCCTTTGGACACTGACAAATGAGTGATCTGAAGTAGGGGAGCAGTAAAGGAGGGGCATGCCACCTGGAGTAGATTGCATAGTAGACTATTAATAGACCATGAAACAATCTGTGTTTGACAATGTCATTCATAAGGATTAAACATGATCAACGATGGCTTCTCAAGTGACTTCATGTCCACAGACCCTGCTCGCTTTAGTCATGTGGCCATTGCACCTGAAGCTGCACGCCCGCTTCTTTGCAACTGCAAGTGAGCTGGCCAAATGGGAAAGGCGTTGCAATCGATTGACACAGCTGCAACGACAAATCAGGTTTCTGCCTTTGCAGCACTTCTCAGTTGGCGACATGACATATACGCTGCCACTTAAAGCACTTGGTCCTCCATCGCATCTCCCAACTCGACAAGAGCTTGGATACCTAGCTGGATTCTTTGATGGAGATGGGTACGTGAGCATGGTGAAGAGTACTGGACAAATGTCGATGGGTATTGGCCAAACTCTGGATTCTGCCAGAGTGCTCATCCGCTTCCGTGACAGTTTTGGTGGTGGCATTTGGCACCATAGGTGCCAATCAGGAACACACAGAGCAACGCTGCAATGGCAAGTTCATGGCAGAACTATGCGACACGCAGCACAGGTGCTTTGCAAAGTTCCTTCCATGCAGCGGGCACAACTCCAGATAGCAGCAGCTGGGAAAATAACAAAGGCAGACAGAAGTGGTGTGGCACAGACGTTAAGGCTGTTGAAGCAGAAGGACCATGTGCCTGCAAACTTCAGTTGTTCATGGCCTTACTTTGCTGGTTTTTTTGATGCTGAGGGGTCGATTTCTGTTCGTGGATCTTGCGTTGGGCTTGAACTGCAAGTGGGCCAAATGAACCCGTTTGTTTTGGAGGAATTGCATTCCTTCTTGCACAAGCAGGAGTTGAGTAAGTGGAGACTTGAGTGCAGAAGCGATGGGGGTTGTCAACTCCGCTGTGCAGACCTTGCAACTTGCAAGCGGACGCTGCGGCACCTGTTGGATGCTGGCCTTGACCTCAAACAGAGCCAGGCGGCTCTAGCTGTTTCCCTCGAGGCTGACAATCATAAACAAGTTCGTGAGCACATGTTTTCATTGAATGGCTTTAACAGCAAGTACCGGCGCCTTGACGATGCAGGCATTGAGCGTGCCAAACAAATCAATAGTGTCCGTAAACAATTCAACAGAGCCTCCTCCCAACAAGAACGTGAGTTGCTGCAGGCGAAGCTTGAAGGTCTTCGAGAAGATCACAAATTGCAGAAATTACAACTCAAATCTGTGAGCCTACGTGGCAGCATCCGACAGTCACTTCAAGATGGAGGTTTCGTGGTGCCGATCTGAATGAGCTATGGACAGAATGAGTCGAGGCAAAGGCTCAACGACTTTAATTCTCTGTGTGTTGCAAAGAACTGCTGCGCTTGTTCAAGAGAAGGAACACAACCGGAGTGCTTTTCCATGTTTTAAGTCTGATGTTTCTGAAAAGGCTGAAGATGAGGCGGGTGGAGTTGGAGCCAGATTCCAAGCCAGCCCAAAGCAAAGAACCATTTGAGTGGACAATGGCTAGGTCCATAGGGTTGATAGACCATGAGGCCTATGAGGCCTACCATTTCTTAGTTGGCATTCTCCACTGCATCGAACTGAAGACCACATATTTTGCGGTTGTTGTGGACATGTGCATCGTTGTTGACCTCAAACGCGCGATCTTTCCGGAAAAAATGCGCCTCAAGGACACCTATAACAAGATCCACGGCATGGATATCCACGGTATGGGCCCCTCGAATCCTTAGAGAACGGTTGAGATCAAAGATGGTCATACTAACTAGTACACATTCTATCTATCAGATGCCTTTAGTCAAATACAGGACATTTGTTGAAGCATATCCCAGTCATCCCCAGCAAATGTTTAATGAGGTTTTCAAGCAACAGTGCAAAACTAATGGCAGGTACTGGGATGCCTGCGTTCTCCCATTAACAGCCTCGTGCTGCAAAAACCGCCAGCTGATGCGGGATTGGCCGCTGATGGTTCTAACAGGAAGAAACTGAACATCAATGCACAACCACAAGAACGCCAATCCCAGACTGACCATTCATGTAATACCTACCATTGGGCCATTGGGGTGGTTTCAGGGGTGAACGTAGGTAAATATTCCATACATGGAGTGTTTGGGAATATTTGCTTGACGGACATTCAAAGGTCCAAAAGCCAACCGCAAGGCCAGACTCAGCCATGTCGTTTCACCGACCCTGAGAGATTCCCACCCAACAGAGCATGGCCAGCCAGCATGGCAGGATCGGTTGCTCATTCAAAGAGTTCTTGGGAGTGCTTAAGATGGGATCAAAAAGGGGGTTGCTGCATATACCTCCGCGCCAGCAGGAACGCAAACTCCCCAGTGCTTGGTAGAAGGTTGGCAGAAAATCCCTTGGCAAACGCATTCTGAGATCCGGCGGTGTGTAGAGGTACCCTGGGTTTGCTGAAGGAAGTGGTTTTGTTTTACCTCTGGGTGAATATAGCCTTTCCTGGCTCCCTTCAGCAAATCCAAGTGTTTTTGGTGGATTTGTTTGTTCAATGGTTGTTTTTCTCATGTTTCTCTCGTTGGTGGGGTCCCCATCCAATTGGAATTCCAACCGGCCTGTGGTCCGGGAGCCTGCCCTCCTCCAGGCGCAAGCGTCCGAGCCTCGAGGAGACCTCAGATCAGCGTCCGGCCCTGCTTCCTGGCCTCCCCCCATAGGAATAGAAGCACTCGACATGCACGGAGTCTAAGAGTCTTTCCAACGTATTTGGCGAGATTTATCCGACTTTTTCCATCAACGATATAAGTTTCCAAAGTTGTTTTGAGATGGATCGTTGATAATCTTTTCTTTTTGGGTTTCCCCTCTGATGTACTTGGTTCACCTGTAGGTCATCCGCAGCCCTGTAGGGGCCCGAACCCATCGGGCGTGATTCGTTTCGGGGCAGACGATGGACGTTCATCGATGTGGTCACTGCCAAGCAGCTTTGTAACTGCGGTGCTTGCCTTCGTCCTGTGGCGGCCACGGCAGCAGGTCTTTCTTGACCGGATTTGCATCAGCAAGAACAATGATGACTTGAAGGCCGCTAGCATTTTTAGCTTGGCAGGCATCTTGAACAAGTCAGACGAGATGCTTGTACTGTGGGACCCGACGTGGAGCGATCGGTTGTGGTGTGTATTCGAGCTTGCTGCCTTTCTAAAAAGCAAAGTGGCCAGTGAACAAGTACTGCTTATCAGACCAACTGTTCTTGGGCCATGTTCGATCAGTCTTTTCATCGCTATGTTTGTCGTGATGCTGCCTGTGACTACAGTTCCGGCTGTGGGAGAGCGTCTTGTGACTGCCCCACTCTCAGGTGCTTTTCTGTTCCTGTTTATCGTTGCCTATTTCATTTCAGCTTCCTTCAGGCAATACTTTCGCTCGATAGAGGCCTTAAAGGAGAAGTTAAGGAACATCAGCTTCGACAACACTAGATGTTCCTGCTGCGATCTGGGCCATGTAGACGGAGGACGCAGCCTCATGTGCGACAGGCGAATTGTCATAAAATGTGTCGATTTGGTTTGGCAGTCCAGAGGCGTTTGAAGACTGTGCTCGATCAGAGGTCTTGGATGCTTTGGTTGGAGGACTGCATGACCAGATCTTCACCAGAGGCTGGAGCCTCTCAGTGTCCATCCCCCTTCTTTGGGCATTTTTCGATTGGTGGTCACGCATGCGAGAAATGGCCAACCAGCTTGGGCCATTGCTTCCACAATCGACGGGATGGTGCTTTGGTTCTGTTGCGCACCGCTATTTATGGATTTGGGGACCTACTTGGCTTGCAGGTATTGCAAGCGAGGGTCTTCCACGCTCCACGAGATGTGGCAGAACCTCAAAGTTGTACTTGTGGCAGTTGTTGCTTTTGGTGTGATTGCCACAAGCTGGGTCTTTTCTGAGTATGCATATCATACATCTGAGCGTCTTGATCATGGAGCTGCGCTGTTTGCAGGAGTGTGGGGCACAGTCGCACTGTTCCACTATGTTCCACTTCTTGTACAAAGTTTCACGAAGGTCACATGGCTGTCACTTTTTCAGCTTCGGTCTCGTGGCTGAGGTTTGGAACCAAGTGCTAGTTTCACATGCAGAAGAGAAAAGGTGATGCAGTTCTCATCCTCCAGTGTTTGCTGTGGGCTCCCCTGCGGAACTTAAAGAACCACTTAGAGTTCTAAAAGTGTCAGTCAGTCAGTGTCATGTGCGGCATGTGTCTTTTTGTGCCAGCCGGCTGGTAGGAGATCCACATTATCCAAAGAAGTCGGCTCTCTAAGCCGGCTGGTAGGAGATCCATTATGAGAGCTCTTGTAAGCACAGTAGGTGATCTCCGGCTGGTAGGAGAGTCCTTGTTCATGGTACAGCTTTTCACCAAAGCTTTGACCTGACGCCTTGTTATGCCACACCATGAAGCGAGACATTGTTGCTCGTGTTGGTGGCTTGCAACAGGTTACGTTTGTATTCACTCGACTCACTCGACGTCCAAGTCAAAGAGATGCCCCATGCCCCCCACGTCTCCCACGCTTGAGAAGTTTAGCTAAGCGCGGTCCGAACCTTCCTTTCACAAAAGTAAGCAGCCATTAGCGATACAACTGATTCAATCAACATCTTCGGGTTTGTCCCATCTATTCTGACACCACTATGACAATTGTAGGGAGTGTAATTGGACTTCCTTCGGCCCAGAAAGCTGAGGTGAGCTGGAGGAGCGTGCCATGCCGTCTGCACGCCTACGCGTGAGTCGTCAAGGTGGGTTCGACGGGAGGTTCGACAGGTGGAAGGTCCGGACGTCCCACATCAAACTTTGAGTGGTCTGACTGTAGGTGATCCGTGTGGTCAAAAGTGTTCAGTTTTGGACTGACAAGCCGGAAGGATTGTTCGATCTGGTCTGTCCTGGGGAGGAAACTCCGTCAAAGCATGTGACAGGTCATGCTCCAATTGCATCCTGACATCCGGCATCCTGGAGGTAGTCCTGCAGGTCCAAAATCACCTGATTCTGGAGCTCCAGATATGCCCTGCCGACCGAAGCCCCGAGCCGAGACCACCGTCTTCGACGGCGCAGGTGAACACGAGAAGACCTCGTGGAGCCTCTACTCGCCGAAGACCTCGTGTGAAGCCAAGGATGGCTAGACATGACCAGGACCCACGGTCGGGGTGGTTCATGGACACCCCGGAAACAACGAAGGGGCTATCAATAGAAGCCCCTTAGGGTGTCCTGGTATAGAGTGTATAATATATATATATACAGTATCATTTCATGGCATATGGAATGAACAAAAAACATGATGTTGTGAGAAACAAGTCTAGATCTACTCATTCCAGATCAAAAAGGCTTGTCAAGACGAGCCTGTGGTGAAGATGCTGGAACTACGTGGTCCGAGTTCGTGGTGTTGTGTGAGAGGCACTTCAGACTAACAATACACCCCACGCGGCGAGGTCCCGGTGGTGTTTGGCGGACCCACATGACGCCAAGATCGGCCTTCCTCTGGCGTGTCCCAGCACCTTTTGCTTCGACACCCGGACCGAAAAGCCCTAAAACCGACGGCCACGGCCTCGGGGATCCACTCGCGGCCTCCCGCGACTCACTCCGGCCGACTCCGGCCCCACCTGGCCCCACCGGGCGCCGCGGCCGAGGCGCGGGGAGGTCCGGGAGGTGCGGCTGCACAGCCGGCAGCGCCGCTCGGTGCGGAGCCAGCTGTGTGAGACGTCGGAGAACTACGAGGAGCACCTGGTCGGACGCAGGGCATTGTGTGGTCCAATTGAAGCTCGTAGTGAAGTACTCGCTACGTGCGGGGCACGTAGCGTAGCTCGGCTGTTTTTTCTTTAAGAATGAGAAGAATTTGGTTGCCCCTCTTCTGGTATTGTTAATAATGGTGGTGGATATATAGCATTATAATGCATTATATAGCTGATCATTGTATGTTATATATATATATTATCTGTGGCGTGTTTATATACAAAAAAACTGACTGGTCACGTGCTATACAAAATTGGGCTGGCGCACCTAATTTGCCATGCCATGTCCAGGATGGCTTTCAGGGTTCGCTGCTCGTGGCACATTCCAAGGAGCCTTGGAAGCTTTCCCAGGCCTTGGACGGTCAGGAGATCTGTGGGAGGTGCTGTTCGGGCGATTTGAGATGTTCCAGGGGAAAGTATATGAGAAATGAAGCGGATGTGGAGGGACTGGAGGGATCATTATACAACTTCTTTGCCGGGTTGAAGTTGTATTGGACTATTGGACGCGGCTGCAAGAGTTTTGTTTGACGGATCTGGACGGATGACATTGCCATGAATAGGAGAAAACCAGGATGAATACGAGGATACTAGGCCGCTGGTAGACGAAAGGAAAGGACCGCTGATTCCAACAGGAGGTCTCCGAATAAGGTTGGCAAACGAGGTCTCGTTGTCTTGGTTCTTTCCCTTCAGTTCGGATGCGCTGGCAACTTGTGTGGGCGCCCGAGGAAAAAAGAACACAAACTGAACGTCCAGTGGTTGGGAGATTTCAACTTGGTGGGGAACCAACAATCTCCGGAGCTGAACAGCGGGAAGATGAACATGTGCAACATTCTACGATCCAAGATGGGCACCTTGTGGACTTAACACATGTTCAAGCAAACTAGTGAACTTAACTTGGGAACCTTAGGCTTCCAACCTTGGTCTTAAAATCCGACTCAACATGGAAGCGGAAAACCTTCGAAAAGGAAAGTAGCCTTCCAACAACCATGCCATCCACTTCCATGTGAGTAAGCCTGAGTGTAAT